TTGTTTCCCCTCCCCCAATAAAGGTGCTAACCAAACCAGTTCACCTAAGAAAGCCCACGAATCCACGGCTGATGAGAAAACCCCTAACCCAGAGTTAAAATGTCCATAAAAACCCTAGCCTTCACCTGTGCAGCGAGCCACTAGCTTCCGGGCTCCACTGCAGTTCCCTAACTGTAGCCTTTCTTTTCTCTCTAATAAATCCCACTTTATATTTACCGGCTTTGACTCATCATTCAGCTGCCTCACGAGCCAGTTCTCTGGCCTGTGAAGGCAAGGACCCTTGACACGACATGTAACAAAACCAAAAGTTATCAAGATTTGATGATTTTGAAAATTCCCAGTCTCTCTAGCCAGTAACAATGGCTTCTGGGAAAAGATCACATACAAGACACTGTCAGGAAAATATGATATAAATTTGAAGCAAGGGTATGGTGATAAAATATCTTACCAAGACCTCAGATCTAAGGCAGTGCAGTCATTCAGTTTCCAGGAACTTTAGGTGTGTTGTCCATTCACATCAGCCCAAGGCTTACTGGTATTGTTGGGTCTGGAGACCTAAGGAGAGGAGTTAGAGGCCTGCATTCCTGCACCCTGACAGGGAGTGGTAAACTGCATTTCTGCATCCTAAAGTGGAGATACAGGGTCTGATAGAGCCGCCACAGGGCTGATGGGCAAAATGCTCTCAAGATTGTTTCCTTCCCCCAATAAAGGTGCTAACTATACTGTTAGGTCCCTGGCATTTTTGGGGTGGGCGGAAGTTCCCAAGGCTAGCACCGAAACCAGACCCCTGATATATGACTGTGTGTTTCTCCCTGCCTGATTGTTTCTCAGCTTGCAAAACAACTCAGGAACTTCCAGTTACTCAACTAGCCAGGCGTGTGGACCTGTTCCATCTGGTGATCATAGATAATTAGAGACCAGGCTCTCTCTCCCTTCCCCATGGCTTGGCCCCTCCTATAAAGCCCACTACCCAATTCAGCCAAGCTGCTGTATTCTAAACCCAAGAGTGACAGCCCTGCGGTCTGGATTCCCAATAAATCTTTCCTTTCCACACGTGGTATGGTCTTTATTTGGCAGTACCTTACATATACCAGTTCACCTGAGAAAGCCCGCGAATCCACGGCCAATGAGAAACACTCCCCCAACCCAGAGTTAAAACGTCCATAAAAGCCCCAGCCTTCACCTGAGCAGAGAGTTACCGATTCCAGGCTCCAATGCACTCCTCTAGTTTTAGCCTTTCCTGTCTCGCTAATAAATCCCACTTTATACTTACTGGCTTTGACTCATCACTCAGCTGCCTCAAGAGCCAGTTCCCTGGCCTGTGACAGCAAGGACCCTCAACACAGGCTTGCAGCACTTCGACAACTGCATGTAACACAGCATTGGCCATGGATCGTCTAATGGAGTGAACCAAATAAGATTCATAGACCGCTACAAAGGTTTTTTGTTTTGTGGTACTGGGGCTTGAACTCAGGGCCCTACACCTTGAGCCACTCCAGCAGCCCTGTTTTGTGGTGGGTTTGTTTGAGATAGGGTCCTGTGAACTATTTTCCCTGGCTGGCATCGAACTATGATCCTCCTGATCTTGCCTCCTGAGTAGCTATGATTGCAGGTGTGAGCCACTGGCACCTGGCTACCTTACTCCCACTTTTTGAACACAAGGTATCACTGCTGTGATAAGACAGTTAACTTCTATGGGTCCTACCATTGAGTGTATATGAGAAGATAAGATGTATCTTTAGTTCAAAGGTCTTCAGGTAGGGAAGAACCACACTTGGGTTTTTTTTTTTTCTGTTACGTGCTGGTTTGAAGTGTTGTGGGCTGGTGTGGAGAGTCCTTGCCTTCACAGGCTGCTCAGGTGAAGGCTGGGGCTTTTATGGAGGTTTTAAGTCTGGGTTGGGGGGGGTGTTTCTCATTGGCCGTGGATTTGCGGGCTTTCTCAGGTGAACTGGTTTGGTTTGCACCCTTATCGGGGGAGGGGAAACAATCTTGAGAGCATTTTGCCCATCAGCCCTGTGGCGGATCTATCAGACCCTGTATCTTTCTTTAGGATGCAGAAATGCAGTTTACCACTCCCTGTCAGGGTGCAGGAATGCAGGCCTCTAACTCCTCTCCAGGGGGGATGGGATTCATCCGCCTTAGGTCTCCAGACCCAACATATCTAAAAAACACACCTGAAGTGCCTCATGCACACCTCTACACCAGCTGTGGTGACAAGGGTACATTCAGGTATCCCACAGAGAGTCTATGTGAGAAGGAATGGTTGGTCTCTTGCCAACAACCGTACTCAATGACTTGCTAGGTATGTGAGTGACCCACCTTGGAAGGGTCCTGTTAAGCTGACATGGGACGACACTACCAGCTTGATATCCGACTACAACCTCATGAGTGACCCCCAAGCTGGAACCACTCAGCTAAGAAGCTCCCAAACTTTTGACACCCCAAAATGAATGAGATAGCGAATGTCTATTATTTAAGTCACTAAGGTTTGGGGTAATTAGTTATAAGGTAATAGACACTAAGATAGCTAGGCACTCACGAGAGCTGTCGTCAGTGAGCCCAGAGGGGTATCGGTGGTGTCATATATCCAATCCATCAGTTCCTTCAGTACAGAAGGGCCATAAATTATAATCTTCATCACCTTCTAGAACAGAAGTCAGCCATTTGTGGTGATTGTTTGTAAAGGGTCAGATAGTGACTATTTTAGACTTTAAGAGCCATTCTGTCTTTCTCACATCTACTCAGTTCTGTGGGTGACCACAAAAGCAGCCACAGACGACACATGAACGAGTGGGAGTGGCTATGCACCAGTTATCTACGCAGGTGGCAGGATTTGGTACACTGGCTGTGGCTCGCTCATAACTGCTCTTCACTGAAACATCATCTCTCTTTAGTCTCTACTGCACTCTTGGGAGACAACGCAGCCTAGTGACTTTTGGCTTTTCCCAGTCCTTTCAGATCAAAATGCACTCCTCTCAAGTCTCCTGTACTCCTTACTTCTCTTTTACTTGGAAAGTCCTGTGCAGGACACTTCCCTAAGGTCATGGCACTGGGAGGAGCCAGAGGTCTATGGCTTGTAACGTTGGAGCCTGTCTATTTTCCCTGCTAGCTTCTATCTTGCTGGCTATCAATCCAGGTACTCTGAAACCCCCTCCTATCAGCTGTGAGACCCTGAGGACCTGTCAGCCTCTCTCAACTTTGTCCTTTTGGGACGCATAAATTCCAAGGCATTCAAGACTTAGTGCTGTGGCAGCTACAGCACTAAGCACAAATGTCATTGTCACTCTGTTCCCCAGGACTTCCCACTGAAGCCATAGCCTGGTCTCCCCTACTGTGGATTCCCAAATGAGTCTGAGGGTTCTCTTTTCTAAGTGTACCTCCCCCCCGCCCCCCCCACCTCCGTAAAGATTCAAGGGCAGAGCCCAGCTGGATACCAGGCCTCAATTTTCTCATCTGTATACCGGAGATTATAATAGTAATTTAGTGCCTGGTCACTTGGCAGGCAATGTGCTGGAAGCTGGTGCTATAAACAGGAAATGAGACTGCCCAAGTGCACACTGGACAGTCAGCTGTGAAAGCTATCCTGTAGTGTGGGGTCTGTATGGTCTGCTAGGCAGTGGTGTCTCTGTGAGCTCCTCTTTGACCATTGAGTGCCTTTGTCTCTAACAGATGTGCTGATGGCCGCTTTCTAGTTTCATGAAATGGCTGGGACCTCAGGGCGGTCTGCGAAGCAGTTGGTATTGTCACCTATTTTTAGCTGGGGCCAGGGGTGTTAGTGGTGTGGATGTGATGGGAGATTGGGAGCTTCACACCCAAGTTGGAGGGACAAGTGTTTGGCTCCCTTTCAGGAATGTGTGGGCAAACTCCAGCTCTTCCTTCATAATGGAAGCCAAAAACCACTTCTTCCATGCGGCCTTCCTTGATTTTCTCATAAAACATTCACCTCAAACACAGGATAATAGCCTAACCTCTGGGCTTCTCCGGCCCTTGATTATTATTTCATACTAAGAGATACTAAGCAGTCTCAGCTGCTGCAGATAAAGTTTCTCCTCTGAGTCCGCACTCTGCCATCTCTAATCAATGCCGTTATGTTAGGAGTTCAAGGCTGAGGACATAGCTCAGTGGTAACATGCATGAGGTCCTGTCCTGAGCCAAGAGGGAGTCATTTTTGTAAATCTGTTTCCTCCTCGGTAAAAACTGGTGATTTTTGTACCTGTCTCTAAGGGATCAAAGGGTTTGATTTCCTCAAATTGAACACTGGATGCCTGGTATAGACGGATAGAGGAAATCTTTGCAAACCCCAGCCTGGCCCAGACGGGCTGCGCACCCCAAAGGTCTGCTTATCTTCTGCAGGGCATTACTACACTCAGTTGGTGCTGCTGGTGGAGGGCAGGGGAACGATGGGTGTCTCTGGACACTCAGAAGCCCACAGCCAGTGGAAGGTCACCCAGCAAGAAAGTGGCCGAGCTAGGACAACCCCTGCGGTTTCCTCGGGCTCCTCTGCCTTCTCTAATATTTCTCTTCTTCCCTCTAACTCCGTGGCTTCCCCATAAGGGAGGAGGGGTCTCCGGGCAGAAGGTGAGGAGTCCCGCGAGCAAAGGCTGGCGAAAGGGGCCCCGGGCCCTGTCCTGCAACCGGAGTCCCCAGAAATGGGGGCAGAATATCAGGAGCCCAGAATAGGGGAGGGGGTCTTGTACACTAAAGAAGAGTTTCTCAGCTAGTTAGGAGGGGCGAGTGAGTCCGCAAACGCAGGGATGGGGCGGGGCTGGGCGGGGCTTCCTTGGTCCCAGGGGCGGAGCCCGGAGAGGGGGCGTGGTCTCTCAAGAAGGCATTGCTCCGTTGACTAGGGTTAGGCTAAGCCGCAAGGGGGAGGAGTCTTAGATGAGGCGGGGCTCTCGCGGGGGCGGAAACAACGGGGCGGGGCATAGGCCAGGGGGCGGAGCGTGGCGGTTCGCACTCATCCTCCTCCCCCAGCCCGGGTGTCCCAGTGACGAGGCAGCGCGGAGCCGTCGCGGGCCGGGCCTGTCCCGCCGCAGCGTCCCCGGGACCGAGCGGGGGTGAGGCGGAGAGGGAGCAGTGCCTAACAGGACTCGGAGCTCGGCCAGGTGAGTCCAGCTGGGAGGAGGGGGCGGGGGCTGCCGCCGGCGGTCCCGGGCGGGCGCGGGGGGCGTGTTTGCGTGTCTGGAGGTGGCGGGGGGGAGTGGGTCCGCGAGCCCGCGCCTGCGGTTGTTTGCGCGTGTGCGCGTCCCTGCGGTAGCGGGCCCGGGGTGGGCCGTGCGCGGGTGCAGTGGGCCGGGGGTGTGCGGAGCTGGGCGCGCGTGTTTGTGTGAGGGGCCGCGTATGCGCTGGTCTGTCATTGTGCCCCGGGGCGCGGGGCGCGGGCCTGCTCCGGCGCAGTCCCTCCAACGTGGGGGATGTTTTCCAAACCGGCCGCCTGCGGGAGACGGGGCTCTGCAGCAGCCTGAGCCGGAGGGGGGAGCGCCGCCCCCACAGGCCTCCAGAGACTCGGGCTGCCCGGGGACGCAGACAGACACCCGAGGGAGGGAGGCAGAGAGGGACGGGAGCGGCGCGCACCCTGGAGGGATCCAGAGGCTTGCCCACGGGGCCAGTCCAAGATGGGGAGAATGATGCAGATAGATGGCCAGGTGAGGAAGGCAGGCGTAGAGGGGGTGAAGGGTAGGAAGAGAGAAGGCCAAAAGGACAGTGCTGGGAGGACAGAGAGTCATTGAGAAACAGACGGAGAGAGGCCTGCACCTGCAGAGGGGAAGAAAGATTAGGGTGGACAGACAGATCCCAAGAACCTGACAGAGGGTAACTCAGAGGTCTAGGGGCCAAGAACTCAAGCCAGGACCTGCATCTGAGATGAGAGGTAGGGGTCCCCAACTCCTGGGTGCCCCTCTTCCAAGTGTATTCCAGAATGTGAGCTTGGCCACAAAGCAGCTTCTGACCGCCCCAAGTTGGTCCATTCTTCTAGCCCTACCAAATATCTTGACTTTCTGATTTTGCCATCCCTCCTTGGTTCCAACCCACCAATTTCCCCTTCCTGTTATCCCAGCTTCCCTGGACAATTTAGGGGAGGCAAAGGCCATGAAAGGTCACTCTCCCCTTAACCTAAATTGGCTTGTAGCAACTGGAGCTGGGATTGAGGGGGACTGGGATGGAAAGCTGCAAAGCTCTTCTCTCCCATTCTATCCAGAATGGTGCTGGAAGGAAACCCTGAAGTGGGGTCCCCCCGAACCTCAGACCTCCAGCACCCTGGGAACAATGGCTCTTGTGTCCTCTCTTCTCCTGGTGAAGATGTACAGCCAGGAGAGGAGCCCATCAAGTATGGAGAACTCATCGTCCTGGGGTGAGTCTCCCTGGTCTGGGGGGGAGGGCACCAGGCACTCCCTGGGGCAGCCAGCACAAGGAAGGACCCCAGTTCCCCCTATGTAGAGTGTTTTGCTATTTCTCCTTCATCACCTTCCAAGATGAAAGACAAAACTGGCCAAACCCTCCTCAATCCATAATTTTTTTATTTCCTGTTTCTCATAAATTCTTGAGATAATTCCTCCATTCAAGTTTCTGATGAGATGAGAAAAGTAACTACAGATGCCTTCTGCAAAGCACTTAGTGTGTATGGTGGGGGTGAAGAATTCTGGTTCTGCACAAAACTACTTATTTCTAATCCTGCCTCTGCAAGTTGTCAAACTTTCTTGTGCCTCCGTTTCCCCATTGTGCAAACAGGGTTGGTAATAATTCCTATCTCAGACAGTTGCCAGAGGAAAGGAAAGAAGGAAGGAAGGAAGGAAGGAAGGAAGGAAGGAAGGAAGGGATTTTTATAAAGTATGTAGAGCTGCGCCTGGCACGCACCAAGTATTCTGGGAGGCAGGCCTGTGCCAAGCCCTTTCATGGACATTATTTCATTTCAATCTTCACAAAGATGCTGTGAGGAAGGAGGTGAGGAAACCGAGGCTCAGAGAGGGGAAGTGACTGGCCCAAGGGCACACAGCTGGTAAGTGGCAGGGCTGGGATTCGAACCCAGGTTTTTCTTACTTTAGATCTTAGTGTACTGTTACCAAGACACAGTTCACCCTCACACTACAGATGGGAAAAATGAGGCTAGAGGAGAGGAAGCGATGGGAATTGGTGGCTGGGCAGACCTCATCCTTTCCCGGTTTTTACCTGAACCAGATCATTCTTCTTCCTCCCCCATCAGAGTCTCCTTTTGGTTTCTCCCTCTGCCATCAGTCCTGAAGAAATGACTTGATAACTATACCATTAAGATGATGGTTATTTAAAGCACAATAATGGCTACTATTTGTTAATACAAATGTGCATGTGCTTTTTAAAATTTTTTTTTTAATTATTTTTTGCTGGCACTGGGGTTTGAACTCAGGGCTTCATGCTTGCTAGGCAGGCACTCTTATCACCTGAGCCATGGCCCCAGCCCTGTGCCATATACATTTTCCTTTTTTTTTTTTTTTTTTTAAATAACAATGACATTTAACACTTACCAAAAGTTTGCTGTAACTCTGCCAAACTCAGCCAAATACTTTTTAAATGCTTTATTTTGTTCAGTTCTCAAAATCAACCTGCAAGGTAGGTCCTGAAAAATGAGCCCCATTTTACAGAGGTCTTTGTGATGAGTGGAAGAGCCAGGATTTAAGCCAGGCCCATCAGAGTCCTAAGACTGGGTCCTGAACCACTCTCTCTGTAGATGCCCCTGTCCCCCACCCCCATACAGAGGAGAGTGCAGAAAGACAAAAGAGATGCCCTTCCAAGGGGCATTTGCATCAGAAAAGCAGCTGCGTAGTGTCTGGAAGGAACACTGATTGGAGAGATCAGTGCAGATCTAAGCGGCTGGGCCTCTTGACAGCCCTCTGTCCTTTGCAGGGCAGGGAAGCCTGATTCAAGCTGTGTGTCAGTCATTGGCAAGTATGTTGAAAACACACATTGATGGGCATCCCAAACCTCCAGAGTCAGAATCTCTGTGGATGGGATCAGAGATCCTAGATTTTAACAAATTCATCAGAGATTCTGATTCAAGTCCTCTGTATTTGGTAGCTATTTATTCTATCACTTCCTGCTCCAAAACCTTCCATGTCTCCCCACTACTTACACACAGAACAATGTTCTTAGCCTGGTGTTCATCTTCCCCTACTGCACTTCACCCCCAACACCCCCAATCCCCGATCTCACCAAACTCTGCCAGCCTTGTGGCCTTGGCTCAGAGTGGTGAGCCCTCCATCTCCAAGGGCTTCTGCAAGTGTGGAGTCGGCAGATCCATGCTCAAATCTGGACTTGCTAGCCCAAGGCAATCCACTTTACCTTCCTGAGCCTCCATTTGTCTCACTTGTAAAATGAAAAGAAAGACACATGCCCGGCAGGACATTGCACAGATTCCATTAGGTGATTAATAATGTAAAGGGCCAGGAACACAGAGGCAGCAGTACTTGGCAGCAGTCAAAGCTATGACTCACCCCATCTTTTCCTTTCATCATCATTCTCTCTGGACTTGAGCTGGAAAGGAAGGTGGACATTTGGCATATATGGAGTTATGGAAGTAGTGGCATTGTGTTTTTTTCTTCATTGTGGTTCCTAGTAATACTAAGTAATCATTTGGTACAAGTGACTTCTTCCTAGTTCTTCAGGACGCAGTATAGGTGCTCCTCCCAGAAACCCGATCCTGGGACTATTATTCCCTCTTCCTGCCTCTGGGCCTGGAGGGCACTTGGCTTATACCTAGTCTTGGCAAGTAGTACCTGGGTTCCTTGAGAAGCTGGGGACCCCTTTTCACTGATGGGACAAAACTGACCCATGGTACATCACTTCTACCACCCTAGCACATGCCCAGATCTAGCTCAGGCATCTCAGGAACATTGGTTAATTGAATGAGAGACCTTTCTCAGTGCAGCAGTTTGTTATTGTAGAGTCTTCCAGCTTCAGGTGGTTTTAGAGCTTGTTTAGCAAGGTAGGATTTGCCCAGAGTTGGCAGTTTTTTTCATGTCTCTTCAGGGGCTCACTCTCTTTCTCTCTCTCTTCCCACACCCCCACATTAACAGCTACAATGGGTGTCTAGCGAGTGGGGACAAGGGCCGCCGGCGAAGCCGCCTGGCACTGAGCCGCCGGCCACATGCCAATGGAGTGAAGCCAGACGTCATGCATCACATCTCCACGCCGCTCGTCTCCAAGGCAAGCAGCTTATCCTGCCCTCCATGCCCCAGGCCCAGGTCTACAACCTTCTCAGACCTGACTGCCCACACCCTCTGGAGCAGGGGAGCCCACTGTGTCATCACTCACTGCCTATTGGGCCGCCAGAGAAATTGTGACCATGGGAAATCTTTTGCAGTGTGTACAGCCTTTGACAGTTTCCTTGACTGCCAGACCCCATTCATTGTATGGAAATTAGCAGCAGCATTTTAGAGGAAGCCACAGCAGCAAGAGCAGGATGTGACATCACATAGCAGTGGCAAAGGGAAAACTTTGACTTTAGAGGATTGGGGGTAGAGGTCAGCTTTTTGTGCCTCCAGCTGTGTGGCCATGTGCCAGTTCTTCTGTCTGACCTGCAGTTCCCCACTGTAAAATGAGAAAAATAAGCCCATTCTTGGGGTGGCAGGAGGATTAAATGAGGCAACCCATGTAGAGCTCCTGCTGTACAGTTCTCTCTGCACAGGATGGCGCTGCTCCTTCCCAGGAGTGGCCACTGGGCTCTGAGCTCATATCTGGCTCAGAAACTTACACCCTTCATGAGCACATGCCCTGGGAAGTGACTGCTTTCTCCCCACCAGGCCCTGAGTAACCGAGGTCAGCACAGCATCTCGTACACACTGTCCCGGAGTCACTCAGTCATAGTGGAGTACACACATGACAGCGACACGGACATGTTTCAGGTATGCCCAGTCCTTCAGCCTCCTGACTCTAGGCTCTGCAGCCATTCAGGGTGAGGCTGCTAGTCCAGAGGCCCCAGGAAAGGTGTCTTGGGGCCCTCAGTGCAGTGGCTGCCCTTCAGTGAGGAAGCAGGGGGTTTCAGCGTGGGCTGCTGACTTGATAGTCACACAGCAAGTCAGTCTTGAAGTCAAGACACATGGATGGCAGGAAGCCAGATGACTTCAGAGTTCCGAGGGTGGGTGTCCTGCCAGTTCCATCATTTACCACTGGGTGACTTTGGGTGAGAGTTACTTAACCTCTCTCTCTGGGCCTTGGTTTCCTCATCTGTAAAGTGGGGCCCATGATAGAACTCACCCCATGGGAAGACTGGCTGAGGTATTGCACATAAAATGCTTAGTATATAATAAATTGTTACAAAAAATTCATAATTTGCTGGTACCATTCCAGGGGTGTCACCTTTTTATTGGTCTATCTGCAAATCAATTAGTTTTTATTGAGTGGGATTATCTCCAGAGCCGTGGGGGTGGCAGAGCAGACCACAGCTGGTTGGATATAGAGCCCCATCCTGGGAGCCCAGAGGGTATGAGGACTTGCTGTGTGCTACCCCTCCTTGGACCCAGTTGCCTCATTATTTGGTAGCCCCAATGCAGAGCAGCTACTGGGACTAGGATGCTAGGTCAGGAAGTCCGTGAAATTCGCTTTGCACATGTATTGTAACCTCTGTGCTTGCCCTCCCCTCACTTGCAGATTGGTCGCTCCACTGAGAACATGATCGACTTTGTGGTAACAGACACGTCCCCTGGAGGAGGGACCACTGAGGGTCCTTCTGCCCAGAGTACCATTTCCCGATATGCCTGTCGCATCCTCTGTGACCGCAGGCCCCCCTATACTGCCCGCATATATGCTGCTGGCTTTGATGCCTCCAGCAACATCTTTCTTGGAGTAAGTGAGCCCCCTGGCAGGGATCGGAGTGAGCTGAGGGGGAGGATGGGAAGGTGCAGCACCCTGGAGTTATGGACCAGTCCTCAGCCATCCTAACTGTGACCCATGCAGGCAAGCTTAGCAGCCCACGTCCCAAACCAGCAGAGAGAGGCTCAGGGAGGTCAAGTGGTGCCCAAATCATTCAGTCCTTTCTGGGCTACCTCTGAACTTGAGGGAGAGGCATGCAGCCTGCTGGGGGCCACTTGGGGATGTGAGCTGATCCTTCATGTGGTCTCAGGAGCGGGCAGCCAAATGGCGGACTCCTGACGGCCTGATGGATGGCCTAACCACCAACGGAGTCCTGGTGATGCACCCTGCGGGCGGCTTCTCTGAGGATTCAGCTCCAGGTGTCTGGCGGGAGATTTCAGTCTGTGGGAACGTGTACACACTACGGGACAGCCGCTCAGCTCAGCAGCGGGGGAAGCTGGTAGGTGGCCTGCACCATCTCCCCATAGTCCTTCCCAATCTGCCAGTCCCCTTTCCTAAGCCAGGTGATGACCTGCTGTCCTCCTGCCCAAGAGAGCCTTAATGGGCTCTATCTGGGGGAGTCACAAGCTAAGGGAACTCTTGCCCCTTGCCCCATAGATAGGACCAGATCAGCATCCCCACACTGCACACCCAGCCTGCACACTGCTGGTGATCTATGGGGGGAAGTGAAGTGGAGCCACACAGATGCACCATGTAGTACTGAGTAGTTTGAGGTTGCCAGTAGCTTCAAAAATCACACCCTCTTATGAGCATGACACTTGGCCTATGTGTGAGCAGTTTACAGCCTTGAGTGTTGGCAGCTTGTAGTCTGTCTGTCACATTCAAGCAGCTTTAGTATCCTCTCCCAGCAGTAAAGGGCTGGTAGAGTAGTTCTTACAGAGTCCTTTTAGAAGTATCACATGGGGCAGATGGGAGCACTCAGGTTGAGCTGCAAGTGAGTCCTATAGAAAATAGGGGCACATGCCACATCCCTCTGCTGGGCCACCCAGAGCACTCCCTGTGTATGAGCACATGGACCGAGGAGATGCAAAACCTCATGGGCAAACAAGGTTTCTAGAGTGTCAACTCTACTGGGAGATTTGGGACACATTCGTTTGTAAAGCTGTGCACGTGGGCTGGGGATGTAGCTCAGTAGCAGAACCTGTGCTTATCATGTGCTAGGCTCTGGGTTTGAGCTCAGCACCACAAAAAACAAAATTAAAATTAAAACTATGTACATCACTGGTGGGTGGTGCATACTTGTAATCCAAGCATTTGGTAGTCAGAGACAGGAGGGTTGTGAGTTTGAGGTCAGTCTGGGCTACATAGTAAGACACGGTCTCAAAAAAACGCCACCAACAAAAAACCCTATACATGTGAATGTGTCACAAGCATATGCTTGTTGGGCACCAAACTATGTGCCAGGCGCCATTATAAGAGTTTACATTGATTGATTCATTTAAGCTTTGTGAGACCCACTTGAGATACCTGGTCATAGAATTCACGTGACTCCCCCAGATGGAGCCCATTAAGGCTCTCTTGGGCAGGAGGACTGCAGGTCATCTCCTGGCTAAGTCCCAAAGGTTAAGCTACTTCCCCAGAGAGTAGCTGAGTGGTGAGGCCAGAATTCAAATCGAGATGGTGTAACTCCAGTCCTTGCTATTAACCGTGACCTAGTTCATAGCCAATACTTAGCTGCTTTGGGCTGAGTAGCCGGCATTCTTCTTGCCTCTGACATTATAGGAAAGCTTTGGAAAGTGTTTTAGAAAATGTCCAGATTACCTGATTTGACAGATGAGGACACCAAAGCCCAGGTCCTGCTGAGAGTGAGGAACAGTCTGTGGCTGGGAAGCACCTGTTTGCCTTCCCAGCCTGTCCTGCCCATCCAGGGTGCCCTCTCTTGTGAGCGTCAGTGGGAAGGATGGGTGGCTTGACTGAGGGTAAGGCTGCCCAATGGCCAGGCCAGGGGCCTCTTGGTCTAAGGCCCTTCTGCTGCCTCTGGCAGGTGGAAAACGAATCCAACGTGCTGCAAGACGGCTCACTCATCGACCTGTGTGGGGCCACATTGCTGTGGCGCACTCCAGCGGGGTTGCTGCGGGCACCCACACTGAAACAGCTGGAAGCCCAGCGGCAAGAGGCCAATGCGGCGCGGCCCCAGTGCCCTGTGGGCCTCAGCACTCTGGCCTTCCCCAGTCCAGCCCGTGGACGCACAGCACCTGACAAGCAGCAGCCCTGGGTCTACGTCCGTTGCGGCCACGTCCACGGCTATCATGGCTGGGGTTGCCGCCGGGAGCGGGGCCCCCAGGAGCGCGAGTGTCCTCTCTGCCGCCTTGTGGGGCCCTATGTGCCCCTGTGGCTTGGCCAAGAGGCTGGTCTCTGCCTGGACCCTGGGCCACCCAGCCATGCCTTTGCACCCTGTGGCCATGTCTGCTCTGAGAAGACTGCCCGCTACTGGGCCCAGACACCACTGCCACATGGCACCCATGCTTTCCACGCTGCCTGCCCCTTTTGTGGGGCTTGGCTCACTGGTGAGCATGGCTGTGTCCGCCTCATTTTCCAGGGACCACTGGACTAGGCTCTCCAGGGCTCCTACAGCTGTGCCTGCCTGCCCACCCGGGTCCTCCACCTCTTGCAGCCCAGAGGGAGCTCTCTGCATGTGGGACTCTGCCTGCTGGCACATTGCCACATCAGCTGGACACATTGGATGGGTGTTATACCTCCCCCAACTCTGACCCCCAAGGGGGTCCTTGAGACCTGTACCCCAGTCCAGATCAAAGGGGCCTGCAGCACTAGCTGTGCCCCAGGCTGATGGAGGGAAGCCCAGGTCCCCATCCTGCCCTTCCTGGGGTGTTTCCCATCATGCCGCCTACACTGTGCCCCTGGGGGAGTGAAGGGGCTGTGGCCTCTGACCCCCAGCTTAGTCTGGCTGTGCCCTGAGCCTGCCAACCCAGCAACAGATACTAATCCTACTGCTGTCCTGGGTTCCCCTATAAAGCTTGCTGCTCAGCCACCCTCCCGAATCCAGGTGTCCTGCATGTGTGCAATGCTCCAGCCCTGAGTGAATGATGGGTGGGTGGCGGGCTGGGTATAGCATTTGCTGATGCCCAACACAGGCTGGACCATGCCAAATGGGCTCTGGAGACACAGAGACAATCAGGATCCCTGCCTGGTAGAGTTCACAGTGGAAGATCAACAGCTTTGTGTGTTAGGACAGAGAATCTCCAGGCAGGAGAACTGTCTTTACCAGCCAATCGTGGGAAAGTGTGAGAGGCTTCCCAGAGGAGGTGGCACAGGAGCTCAGCCTTTGTGGTGGCTCTGGTTCTACAGGTTGGGGTGGGTGCTCTGCACATTCCAGGTGCAGGCTGGGGGAAAGGAAGGAGGGGCTGAATGACAGATTCAGGTGGCTAGAGTGTGGGCTGCAGAGGGCAGATGCCACTGGAGTAGAGAGTGGGGCTGTGCTGATAGGAGGATGCTGGATGGAAGATTCTCACCCTCATTTGTGGACAGCCAGGAGTCAACAAAGCATGGGAAGGACTTGCTGCTCCAGAGCGCTGACTCTGACCCAAGGGCTACCATCTCTGAATGCCCACCGTGTGCCCCGCACGTGCTAACAGTAATAACAACTGCGTTCATTGAGCACCCATCAGGCACTGGGCTCTGATTCTCGGAGGTTTTGTTGTTTATTTAATCCTCACAGTGATTGTGGAGGGATGTGTCACCATTTGTGTTGGCAAAGAGATGAAGGCATATGCCCCAAGTCACACAGAAAATGACCAAGCCTGGATTTAAACCCACAGCTGCCCCTCTCTGTCATACTGGGTTTTCTTTGGACTGGAGGTGTGGCTTAAGCAGTAGAGTGCTTGCTTTGCAAGCATGAAGCCCTGAGTTCAAACCCCAGTTCCATCAAAAATCAAAACATACCTTGAGAGTTTTCCTCAAATGGGCAGGTCTGAAATGGGGGTGGGGTTAGAGTCCGTTCCATAGAGAGGCTGGAGAATGGATTGGTGGACGTCAATCATTGCAGGACTCCAGCAATGAGCAGGGCTCTGCTTCTCCAGCTCCCTGTCTGATGAGGATCTCCCTGGCCTGGTGGCATAAGCTGACTACCACACCAGATCTGGACTGGTCTCTCTGGAGAGGTCAGAGGGCACCCGTGCGTGTAAGAGGAAGGAGATGTGACTCCATCGTGTCAATCATCTAGAGTGGGATGGAAGGCAGGAGGGGATTGCCAGAGTATGGGAGGATTTCACTGCCCCACTCCCAAGCTCTAGAAATGGAACTCATCTCAATTGTTCCCTGATTCTGTTGGAGACCAAGCAGGGAAACACTCCAATCCAATTTCTGGTGGAAATTTCAGACTCTGGGAGGAGAGATTAGCAAAGGGCACCTCTCTAGGTGCTGGGGAGACCAGATAGCCCTGGCCTGGTCTCTGCTCTGCACTTGCCAATTCTTGAAGACTCAGTTTCCACAATAGTTAAGTGGAATGACAGTCCCTATCTCACCAGGTGGTTGTGAATATATGGAAGGCACCTATGATATAGTAGATTACTTAATGTTACAACTTCCTCACACACCCCTATTTCATTCACTCCAGACAGTAGACTGATGTGTGTGTGTGTGTGTGTGTGTGTGTGTGTGTGTTTTGAAGGCAGGGGTAGGGAACTGGTTGAAGGTCTGAATAAGACTAGGCCCCAGTTCAGGGACTCCTGAAGATAGGCTGTATGGTTTTAGGGAAGTCAGTGAACCTCTTAGTCTTACTTTTCTCATCTGCAATGAGTAAAATGATGATACGCATTCTCAGGCTTTGCAAGAATTACATGAGATGCTCCATGGCAAGCTGCTGACAAAGGAGCTCAGTGACTGCTCCTATTAGCAGCATCAAAAAGTGGGATCATGCATATTGGTTGGAATCCTGAGTACTGGGATCCTTTGTCTGCCTGAGCTGTCCCCTGGTGGCACTGTACCTCTTCTACGTGCCTACATTGCAACTTTAGTGAAGTCAGTCAACTTTATACCCATTTTAGAGACAATGAAAATTGAGATGCAGGAAATTAGAATGAATTTCATAAGGACATAGACCCCTTTATTTAACTCCACTTTTAATGACAATCGACACTAGTCATCAGAGCCAACAGCTAGTAACAATTCACGCAAGCAGGGTCTTGGGCACCTTTGCAAACGTGTCAATGGTGGGAAGTCACTGTGCTGGATTTCAGTCCCCAAACACCCTTTCCACACATACAACCCTAGGGGGCAGCACTGCCCAGTTAACAGTCTCTGAAGCCTACACTGTCCATTATTAGCCCAGTTTTCCAACTGATCAAACCCAGATTTGGAGAAATAAAGTGACCCCCATAAGGTCACACAGCCAGAAGGTGACAGAAACCTGATTAGACCTTAGGCAACGTGGGTCCGCCTAAGCCTCTGGCAATGCTGCTCCCCATTCTGTCCAACCCTAAGCACTTCCACCTGCCGTGTCGTCCCGTGTCATGAGTGGACTTCAAGCTCGCCTCTGGCCCTGGGGGCCTTTCGGAGTCGCAGAAAGCACCAGAAACCGCCAGCCCCTCCTGATCTTGCTTGTGCGTAGAGAAAACTGAGGCTCTGAAATGTTTAGCGATTGTCCACAGGTCCCATGGCAGTCAGTGGGCGCAGTGAAGCCCCCGGGAGCGTTATTCTGCGCCCCTGAGCCCCCTTGATTCCCTGCGCCGGGAAGTCTCCATCCCAGATCCCAAATCTAATCGGGAAAGGGGAGCCACAGTACTCCCATTATACAGGTTCACACCTGCAAACAGGTCCGGGGATTCTGGGGCAGAAGCCCAAAGAAAGGGGGGTCCGAGCTGTGTGCGCGTGGAGGTCCCTGGTGCCTTGTCAGCCCCGTCTGCCTAGACGGTCAGGCCGCGGTCACGCGGAGCACCTAGGTTCGTCGCCCCCGCGTGACCATGGCCTACGGACAAAACGCCAAGGCCACTGGGGCCCAGCCGCGCGCCCTGCGTAGCGCCCGGGGGTGGGCAGCAGAGGGTGCAGGAGGTGCTCGCCTCAGCGCGCCTATTGGCTGGAGCCGCCGCCCATCGAGCCCTGGGACCAGACAATTGGTCGCTGAGGGCGGAGTTTGTGGAGCCCCAATGAATGGGGGAGCCGGAAGCAGGAAGTGAGTTTGCGAAGCGAGCAGCTGCTGCAGGTGAGGTACGGCGCCCGGGTTTCGGGGACACAGTATGTCACCCTCAGGGGACCAGAGCGAGGCTGGACCGAACGAAAGATCATTCCCTTTTTACCCACCCTCTAGTACGCTTTCCAAATCCTTCACGGCTCCGGCGGCCAAGAAGCGTTCTGGGCAGCCAAGAGTTAACACCCGTTTCAGAACCTGGGGAGATCGCGCTGTTGGGGCGGAGCATTGGGAGTGTAGGGAAGCTGGAAACTCATTCCCAGTTAGGGGTCAGGGCGTGGAGAATCCCGTGGTTTGGGAGACCCCCCGGGTCCCAACCCGGCTGTGAGATCTTTGGAAAGTTGCTTGCCTTGGCCGAGTCTCAATTTCTCTAGGTGTAAAATGGGCTGTGAACTTCTTTGGTTTCCTAGGCTAAAATAAGGAGAAGGCAGGAGAATAGAGAGCTGAAGAAGAAACAGAGAGGGATGAGAACAGGACAGATGCGGGGAGCCGTGAGAGAGGAAAAAAGAATAAGGAAAATCATTACCGATGTAGGTACATCCTATCCAGGGTTACCTCATTTAATTTGCATACCCACCTGTTGAGACTAGCGTTATGGGCATATTCTCTTTACAGAGGAGGAAACAGGTGCAGAAAAGTGAGGCAATTGGCTTGATTTTTAGACATCTGAAACAGTCAGAATAGGAACCCTGGGGCATCTAGCCAGAAACCTGGCTTCTACCCTTGTGAATAATGGTTGGTGGGGTACTGAAGCTTCAATTCTGAACAATGGAGGCTAGGAGGTCAGAGAAGAGGAAGGGAGACAGGGAGGGGTTTGGGGTGGGAGTCCGGAAACGGACAGCAGCCATGGGTCTGTGCTGCTGACCCCTCCTTTGTGTGATTAGGCAAGGCTCCAGGCCTCAGTTTCCCCCAGCTGTAATTCAACATAGTTGAACTCAGACTTTAAAGTTGCGGGGCCACAGGCCAAATAAGGCCCACTAATGTGTTTTGTAACCTTCTTGAGTGAGTCACCTGAGTCTCAGTCTATCTGGTGAATGGGTTCCACAGTATTCCCTTCCTCCTGGGCTTTTGAGAGGAGGAGGTGACCTTCTGAGAGTTCAGAGCAGGTACACATTTGGTGTGTGCTCCATGATGGCTGTGATGACAGTGATGGTTCCCTACAGGGCCCATGGCGGACACCCAGTACATCCTGCCCAATGACATTGGTGTGTGTAGCCTGGACTGCCGTGAGGCCTTCCACCTGCTGTCACCTACGGAGCGCCTCTATGCCCACCACCTGTCTAGGGCTGCCTGGTACGGAGGCCTTGCTGTGCTGCTACAGACCTCCCCTGAAGCCCCCTACATCTACGCCCTGCTCAGCCGCCTCTTCCGTGCCCAGGACCCAGACCAACTGCGCCAACATGCCCTGGCTGAGGGTCTTACAGAGGAGGAGTATCAGGTCAGTTGTCCCAGGCCAGTCCTCATTTACTGAGTGGCTTCTAGGTGTGAAGGACTAGGATGCAGGGGCACAGGTCTCTTTCTTGAATGAAACCAAAGGTTACTTACTCAGGAGGCCTCCCCTCCTAGAGCATCAGCCTCCTCATTTGTAGAATATGCTTATGGGTGTCTGTGCCTCTTAGTGTTGTGGGGACCCACGTAGAATAGTTGCCTATGTCAAGGTACATGTGACTTCTCTGATTGTAACTAAGGAAGTAGCAGTGCATCTTGAGAGAAGGAAGAGGAAGGAGTCCAGGATAGAAATCAGGTCTGAGTTCTGGACCAGTAATCCATTTCTGCATTGTATGGTCTTGGGTAGGCTGTTCTGCCTATCGCCCTGGTTTTGTTTGTTTGTGGGCTTTTTTGGTTTTGGTTTTGGTTTTTTTTTTTTTTTTAAGACAGAACCTCATGCCACATGCTGTGGAGGCACCTGCTTGTAATACCAGCTACATGAGAAGCATGGGTAGGATAAATGTCTGAGACCAGCCTAGACAAAAAGCATGAGACCGTATCTGAAAAGTAACTAAAGCAAAAAGGGGTAGAGAAATAGCTCAGATGTTAGAGTGTTTGGCTAGCAAGCGTGAGGCCCTGAGTTCAAACACCAGTACCATCCCCAAAAGAAAGGACCCGGTCTTGCTGCATAGCCTAGGTTGACCTCTTTTGTTTGCAAGTAGAAAAAAACCATCTTTTCTGTTTGTTTTTGTTTTTGTTGCTTTTATTCTGTTTTTAGTGGGACTGGAATTTGAACTCAGGGCTTCATGTTTGCAAAGCAGGTGGCTTAAGCCACACCTCCAGTCTGAGAGACCATCTTAAACTGGCTTAAGTGAAAGAGGATTATTGCTAACATAATTGCAAAGTCCAGGGCTAGAGGAAGCTTCAGTCATGGCTGGATTCAGGGGCTCAAGTTGCAGTTTCATCTCTCAGCTTTGCTTTTTCCCCACTGCAGTAGAGGAGCTCCAGGGGCTCCAGCCTAGTGATAGTGGCTAGCTTGAGCCATGTGCTCAGCCTTGTAGCCAGTGAAGTTGATCCCTAAATGGCTGAGCCAGCTCATATCCCTGCCACTGGACCTGGGGAAGGGAGATTCCTCTTCCCCTACCGTGTCTTCCAAAAAGGAAGTGAGATTAAGTTTGAGGTTAGCAAATGCTATAGCATAGATAGATGATTGAGGCCTTCCTGGCTTTATTCGATGCTTCTCAAGAGCTGCCTGACAGGCTTGGGGTTGAGGATTGGCTTCTCAGAGAAGGAAGTGACTTTAAAAAGGACATACAGGCCACAGGTGGCAGAGAGGGTGTTGGGGGTAGAGGGAGCAAAGGTGGTTGAGCACCTGGGTGTGTCTCTGAACTACTGAGACCAGTTGGGCTACACCACAGGGGTGTAAAAACTGGTCTGTGAAGGTAAGTTGGGCCAGGCTAGGGTCTCCCAGGATCTGGGTCCAGCCCTTGATTTCCCAGCCTTCCCCATACTGGTTCTACCCAGGTGTTTTGGTCCCAGGTGGAGTGGGGGTGAGGGTGAGGGACTGTGCTTCCTGGGTCTCTGATGCTGCTTTCCCCCCCCCACAGGCATTCCTTGTCTATGCTGCAGGGGTCTACTCCAACATGGGCAACTACAAGTCCTTTGGCGACACCAAGTTTGTTCCTAACTTGCCCAAGGTGAGCTGAGGGAGGATTGGGGAAGGTGGGGTACTGGCGGGCCTGGAAAATACAGCAGAAGGAGCCCTAGCTGGAATCATAGGAGCTGAGCAGAATATTGGCCCTGGCCACACTTTGTGTCACCTAGTCTCGGCAGTCACTGCTGACTTTATATAAGGAAGAACACAGCTTTTGCAGACCCTGTTGATCTGGTCAAGCAAGAGCAGGAGGTGACTGCAAGGACAGAGCCCATTGGTCATCACTAGGAACAGGGGAAGCCTGGGCCCAGGGGATCTCTCCCAGGGACCATGGGGCCTGAGCCTGGCTAGGGTACATGTTGCTCATACACCCAGGCTTCTCAGACCTTAATGCTTCCAGGAGCCACTTGGTGATGTTGAAATGCAGCTTCAGGTTCACCAAGGTCTATGGTGGTCTGAGAGCCTACCTTTTTAGACCCTGTCTGTTCTACTAATTCCCAGGCCATACAAGCAGGTCTTAGACTGGTGGACAAGAGCTTGGGAATGGAGGAATGCTCTGGAGGGCAGGTTTGGGAGGCGCACGGCCAGACCAATGGCTTCCCTTCCCCTGCAGGAGAAGTTGGAATGTGTGATTTTTGGGAGTAAGGCCGCCCAGCAGCAGCCAGAAGAAGTCAGGGGCCTCTGGCAGATCTGCGGGGAGCTTATGTTCTCTCTGGAACCAAGACTTCGACACCTCGGGCTAGGGAAGGAGGTGAGGCCCCCAGATGCTTGGGGGAATGAAAGATATATCCTTGGAGGCTCCTGGTCTAGAGGGCAGGGCAACTGCTGGGGGGCAGTTGGTTGTGCTTCCCATTCTCAAGGCAAAGATGCTCAGTTTTGCCATCTGTAAAGTGGGAAGCAGGCCAATGGAATGCTTTCTGAATACCCTTCCAGATCTCACCTCCCAGGATGCTGTGCACAGGAACAAAGGAGAGAAAAGCTGGGAGAGGGAGGGTGCCAAGGAGGGTACAATGGGGAAGGAGGGCTCCCAGGCTTCCTGCCTCTGTCGCTGCTTGGTCTGCTTTAGGGTTGGCCTGGGGGGAGGAGAAGCCTGAAATGAGCATGTTTGTTTCATTGGTTTACAACTTTTTCCCGTGGAAGGAGATGGAGGATGTCGGAAAAAGACACAGAGAGCCTGGAAAAGAAGCTATCAGAACCCTGCTGGGGCCCCTGACCTTGCCAACTCCTCTTTCTCACCTCCCCTCTCTTCCCCAACAGGGAGTCACCACCTATTTCTCTGGGAATTGTACCATGGAAGATGCCAAACTGGCCCAAGACTTTCTGGACTCCCAGGTTTGGGGGTTGGGACTCAGGGTGGTTATTTGATGGGACTCCTGATCCCCCTCACCACTGGCACCTGTTTTTGGGTCCCAGCCTGAGCCCAGAGACATGGGCATCTTGGGTCCTTGAGGTGGGAAGGACTTGGGGAATCTTTGTCTATGAGGTCAGCTGCTCTAGTTTGGAAGTTGGCACATGGATATCACAGCTGTGCCAGGTTAGAGCTGCCCCTGCCCATGCAGATTGTAGGGCCTAAGAGCCTCAGAGCAGGAGGAAGCAGAACATGAGAGTGGCACTTCCCAGCTGGGGCTCTGGAGCCGTGTTGCTCAGTGGCTCCCAAGCTGTGTGACCAGTTTCTGTGTCCACCTGGTATGGCCCTGGGTTAGCTGAGGTCATGTGGTGCCTGGCACTGAGCTCAGTGTATGCAACACAGCAGTGCCCTGGCTCTTCTGCTCCATCTCCCATCTGGCTCAGGAAGGTCCCTAGAAGGTCCTGGCCTGCATTGCCTCCCTGCCATCCTTTCTTGAGATGACCACTCTCTCCACTGTGGACCTAACTGTTCCGCATACCCTGCCCTGATCTTTTCCAGAACCTCAGTGCCTACAACACACGGCTCTTCAAGGAGGTCAACAAGGAAGGGAAACCCTGCTATGAGGTGCGGCTGGCATCCGTGCTCAGCACAGGTGCGCTCAGGCCCTTCTACACCCTCCATTCCATGTCCAGACTTGGCTGGCTCAGGCCACCAGCCTGGCCACTCCAGCAGAAAGAGGGTCCTCCTCTCCCAGTCGTTCCTGTATACAGCTTGGGATGGGTCTGGTCTTTATTTGGGATCCTTTATTACCTGTGAACCAGTCCTTGCAAGTGGGCAAAGGACAGGTCTCTGATTGGCTCTACCTGGTCTCAGACCTACACTGGAGTCAGGGGATGAGGTCAGTCCCTCCCAAACCATCTAGACTGGAGGTGGTAGCGGAGGGGGGCGGGGCATTCTGTTGTGAGGTGAGGGCAGATAGACACAGTGGGGATGGAAACATCTAAGCCCCTGTGAGGACCTTTACTGTCCCTTCTTTACCCATCTGCACTCATTCCAGCCCTGCCTCCTAGTCCTACTCCTAGACTCTGTGCTTTAGCCATGTTCTGAGGCTTCCAGTCCCCCCCCACCCCCAAGACCTTTCACAGCCTACTTCCCTCTTCCAGCCCAGAACACCTTCCAGCCCCTCTATGTTCACCCAGTCACCTCCTCCTCATTTCTCAGGCAGGCATTCTACCTTTACCAGGACCTTCCTCTTCTTCCCCTAGCAGAGGCTGTGCTGCCCCCTTTCTTCCCATCAGCTTACCTAATAATTTCTCAATTAGTTTCCTGTTTCCCCCACTGACTACAAACCCCGGGAGGAGTGACTGTGTCTCTGTATACCTAGTGCTTGGTAGATACTCAGGTATTTGGCTGTATGGTGAACTGCGCTCCAGGTAGGGGGAGCAGCACAAGCCATAGCAGGGTGCTGGGGACACTTAGGGACCAGCACCGTCTGATTTGACTAGGGCAAAGGATGAGGGTCCAGAGAATAGGAGGGGATCACATTGGAATGCTGAATGGAAGCTGGACCTGTGCTTATGGCACAGATACAGGATGTACAGGATGCACAGTGGCTCTGGGGTTGGGAGTGTGGCTTAGTGATAGAATGCTTGCCTAGCACGTGCAAGGTCCCATCCCCAGCACTACAAAAATAGATAAATAAATAAATAAAACAAAACAAATCAAAAAACCAATGTGGGTCTGGAGCCAGGCTGCCTGAGTATATTGGTCACCTGTGGCTGTATAACAAACATCCCCCAAATTTAAGGATGCAAAACTACCTTTTCATGCTCACGGGCTCCCTGTGTCAGAAGTTGAATGTAATACATAGTAGGAACAACTGGTCTCTGGCTGACAACGTCTGGGGCCTTGGCTGGGAAGACTGGACAACTAGGGATGGAATCAGCTGGAGGCTTACATGTAGACACTAGCCACAGGCTGCGACCTCAGCCCAGTTGTCCACAAGACACCTCATGTAGCATCTTCATACAGTTCACCATGGGTGGGCTCTAGGAGTGAGTATCCAGGAGAACCAGGCAGAAGCTGTGTCACTCTTTTATGACCCAGCCTGGGCAGCCACTTGGTGTCATTTCTGCCATAGTCACAAGCCTGCCCAGCTTTAAGAGGAGGGGACATAGATCTGCATCACAATGAGAGAAATCACAGCACGGGAGAGCCCAGTGAGAGAGGAAGTACTGCTGGTACTTTAACCTTTTGAATAACCTTTTGAAAGATTATTACCTAGCCCAGAAGTCCAATAGGTCCCTCTTACCCATGGTTTCTAAGTTCCATGGCTTCACTTGCCAACCATGGTCCAAAAATAGTGAGTGGAAAAATTCCAGAAATAAACCACTCATAAGTTCTTCTGTTGGTGGGACTGGGGTTTGAACTCAGGGCTTCACGCTTGCACAGCAGGTGTTTCTCTGCTTGAACCACACCTCCAGTTCATTTTACTCTAGTTATTTTGGAGATGGGGTCTTGCAAACTATTTGCCCTGACTGGCCTGGAACCACAATCTTCCTGATCTGAGCTTCCCAAGTAGCTAGGAATTACAGGTGTGAGTCACTAATGCTTGGCTCAAACCACTCATAAGTTTCAAGTAACTCCAGATGCAGTGTGTTATAACTGCTCTATCTTGTTGTTAGCTGTTGGCAATCTTACTGTGCCTAATCTAACAAGTTTGACCTCATCATAGGTGTGCACTGGAGAAAGCATAGTATCTGGTTTCATACTCTCCCTGGTTTCAGACATCCACTGGGGATCTTGTATCATCCACAGATAAGGGGGGATGACTATATCTTTTATTGATGTAACAGCAAGCAGAATATAAGTGTGTAGTTTCCCATTTTTGTCTGACTGCCACAAATTTAGTGGCACAAAACATACATTTATTTCTTTGACAATTGTGGAAGTCCACAGTCTTAAATCAAGGTGTTTGCAGGACTGTGTTCCTTCTGGAGCTTTCCAGGGGTGCTTCCTTATCTCTTCTAGCGTCTGGAAGATATCTACATTCCTTGGCTTCATGTCAGTTTCTTCTGTCATCACTGTTATCACTATTTCCCACTCAAGCTGTAGTTTCCTCATAAGGACCATTGTGATTGCTTTGAGGATGTGACTCTTAATTTTTTGTTATTTTATTTGTTATTTTTTGAGAGAGGGTCTTGTTTTGTAGCTCAGGCTGGTCTGAAGATCATCTGCCTGAGCCTCCTGAGTGCTGGGATTACAGGTGTGTCCCACCATGCACAGCATAGCTCTTTTTTGATATAATCTGCCACATTGGGTTTGAATCCCTGCTCTGCTACTTGTTAATGTCACTGTCCAAGTGACTTTAGAAAACTTACTTAACCTCTTGGTGCTATAGTTTTCCCAGCTATAAAATGGGGATAATAATTTTCCTCTCCCTCCAGAGTTGGTGTGAGGCTTAAATGAGCTACTTTGACCATCACATGTGATGCATAATTCATTTTCATTTATTGATTTATTTTTGCAGTATGGGATTTGAACTCAAGACCTTGTGTTTGCTAGTCAGGCGCTCTACCACTTGAGCCCTTTTTGCTGTGCTTTTTTCAAACAGGGTCTTGGCGTTTGTGCTCTGGCTGGCCTAGACTGCAATCCTCTGATTTATACTTCCCACCTAGCTGGGATGCCAGGTGCAACAATATCATGTCTAGCTTTTATTGACTGAGATGGGGTCTCTCAAACTTTTTGCCCAAGCTGGCCTCAAACCAAGATCCTCCCAGTCTCTACTTCCCCAGCAGCAAGGATTTACAGGCATGAGTCACTGCACCTTGCTGTTTTTTATTTTTATTTATTTGTTTTTGTTTTCTTGGTCTTTTTAAAAATTCCTTTAAAAAATCGTTTTTTTTTAAAATTTCATCATTTTTACATTTACTCATCTGTGTATACATTTTTGTTTGATCCACCTCCTGCCCCCTGGCGCCCTCCCAATACCTGGCTGTTTTTTAAAGATGAGAGTTTATGCTAATTTCTGTTGGCAATGGGGAGCCAACAGAGATCTTAGAGTAAGAATGGAGAAAAGACTGCTGAGGTGTCTCTCCTGGCTTTTCCCTGAGTTACTCCTCTTTCCTCAGACCCTGCTGAGGGCTTGGAAATGACTTCCAAGCTGAAGAAGTATGAATTCCAGGGAAGGCATTTCCAGGTCACCCGGGGAGACTATGCCCCCATCCTCCAGAAGGCAGTAGAGCACCTGGAGAAGGCCAAGGTAGGACTGGCGAGTGGCGTCCACTCAGGGTCCCTCGGGGCAGCAAAAAGGGCTCGGAAGTGGGAGGGTGGCCCAAGGCTGACCTAGCCCTGCTTATCCCAGGCGTATGCAGCCAACCACCACCAGGAGCAGATGCTGGCGCAATACATAGAAAGCTTCACCCAGGGCTCCATCGAAGCCCACAAGAGGGGCTCCCGCTTCTGGATCCAGGACAAAGGCCCCATTGTGGAGAGGTGAGGCACCAGCCTTTACACCCCACCCCTCCTGCCCACTCTCCTCCATCTCTGTCCTTCTCTCCCCCAGTTACATTGGCTTCATTGAGAGCTACCGAGACCCCTTTGGATCCCGAGGAGAGTTTGAAGGTAACTTCTGGTGGGTGAGGGAGGTTGAGTTGAAATCCCCAGGTTCAAGTTCAGGCTCCCAGGTGTCCCCTGGGAGGTTCTTCCCTCCCCTGTGGCAGTAATAACAACAGCCATGGAAAATAAGCACTATTTACACATCCTGAGCACTGTGGTACCAAGTTTACCTGTGTTGATTCACCTAGACAATATCAGCCTGTACGATTTTTACTGGCTGGAGGTGGCTGAGCCCAGCTACCTGGCTCTGAGTCACTTAGTTGTTCTGTACCTGGCGTCTGGTCAGGGCACAGACTCCTGGCAGAGAGCCATGCATTCTGAGCCTGACTTTGTCCACCACTGGCTCTGTGAACTTTGGCCAAGTAACCTGACCTCTGAGCATCAGTGAGATCACATGTGCAGTGCTGTACTCAGTAGCTGGGAGTACTGATTCAGCAGCTGTCATCCCAGGCTGGTGGCAGACTGCTCATCCCCCATCCCCACACCCCCATGGGATCCACCTATGCAAAGCAGGACATTTTGCCTGAGGATTGAGACTTGTCTCTGCCAATCCTCATCCTTTGACCCTGGGCAGAGAGGCTGAGCATCCAGCCACCAAACTAGGGATTAGCCTGGGAGGAGGGCAGAAAGTGCTAGCAGTACACCAGAGGCTCAGATGGAGCCAACAGATCTAGGCCCAGGGGAAGACGAGTTCACACATGTACAGCTTTCCTGCCTGGGACCTGTTTTCCAGTAGGATCCAGCCTGGATCCCTGCTGTCCCCAGCAGCCAGCACAGGGCCACTGCATACAGTAAAATTCAATACACACATGATAATGGAGGGGTTGGGTAGATGGGGTAGGACCCCAAGACCCTGCCAAACCACAGCTCCTTCTCTCCTGCAGGCTTCGTGGCCATGGTGAACAAGGCCATGAGTGCAAAGTTCGAGCGGCTGGTAGCAAGTGCCGAACAGCTGCTGAAGGAGCTGCCCTGGCCACCGGCTTTCGAAAAGGACAAGTTCCTCACTCCTGACTTCACCTCCCTCGATGTCCTCACCTTCGCTGGCTCCGGCATCCCTGCTGGCATCAACATCCCCAACTGTGAGCTTCCTGGGTATCCCACACCTTGGCCACAAACAATCCTGCACGAGTCACCCTCCCACATGCTTCTCCTATCTGTGACTCTTGACTTTGCCTTTCTTTCTGATCCCCTCTTGGCTCTCTTCTCCAGATGATGACCTGAGGCAGACAGAAGGCTTTAAGAACGTGTCACTAGGGAATGTGCTGGCTTTGGCCAATGCCACACAGCGGGAGAAGCTCACGTTCCTGGAGGAGGAGGATAAGGTGGGCATTGGCAGCCTGAGTGGGGGGGCTGGGCCTCGCCTGGCCTCAGCAGGTCCAGGAAGGCAGACAGCTGAGTGCTGTGGTGAGAACATAGTGGCCTGGCCACTTTCTGCCATGTGACTGTGCACTGTAAGCCCCGGTTTCCTCATGTGCATCCAGTGGAGGCAGTCAGTTTCTCCCTCCTGATTGTTGTTTTAGGGAGATGGGCCTAATGGGGCAAAACACACTTGGCCTCCACCGACCACATGCCCCATACAGACCTCAGCCTGGGCAGGGAGGCTGGTGGGCAGGATGGCCACGGTGGGATAGTAGACAGTAGTGTCCCTGCTTGTTTTGCAGGACCTGTACATACGTTGGAAGGGGCCCTCCTTTGAAGTACAGGTGGGGCTACATGAACTGCTGGGCCATGGCAGCGGCAAGCTCTTTGCACAGGTGAGAAGGTGGATGCCCAGGCCAGCGGGGGCCTTCTCAGGTCCTCTTACCTATGACCCGTCCTACCCAGGGTGAAGCTGCTGGGTCAGGTGGGGAAAATCGCCCCCTAAGCAGGGAAGACCCTGTCTTGCCCACCCCCAAGAGGCCCCAGATGCTCAGATGAGTGGGTAGATGGTGAGGGAGGGGCCTCCATGACAATTCAGCTGATAGCCTCTAGACTAGGAGGATTTGCTGACCTCCAGCCAAGGAAGCCCACCCTCGGCAGCCCCTGGGACAGAGACCAGGAATAGATTGTCTCTGGACAATCCCTGTCCTGAGGCTGCAGCACTGCTTGTTCCCTGGAGCCTATACCTTTCCAGTTGTTGCAGGAACCATGTCTCTCCATACCACCCCTTCTTCCTAGGCAGCCACAGTGGCTGGAGCCCTTGACACCCACTTGGGGAATGCAGGAAAGGAAGAACTTCCTCAGCAGGCTAAGGAAGTTTATGGGTCCTCAACATGGAGCCACACAGATGAACTGACCAGGGGAGGGTGAGGACCATCAGAGAGAGGGGTTCTGGGTTGAGCTTATGCCCAGGGACAGTGCTGCTTCTCTGGATGAGGAAGGGTCAGAACTGGGCCTAGGAAAACAAGGAGGCTGAAGAAGGCAGGTGACGAGGCCATGGCCTAGAGAAAGCCTGGACAAGGCACTGGATAAGTTGGTTCCCCTCATTTAACCTCAGTTGGCCCATCTGTACAATGAGGTTCCTGACCCCATCCCACATGGGCTGTTGTGAGAATAAAAGTGAAGTGGCTAGTAGGCCTGGGCACACAGTAGACCTTTCGCAAATGGGAGTTAGTGATAAGAGACACAGAGATTATATGTCCTTATTCTGTTTGGAGTTCTTTGTCTCTGAGCCTCAGTGTCCCCATCTGCAAAATAGGGAGAAGCAGCCAGGCCCTGTGGCCCAACCACTGGGGCATCTTTAACTAGAGCTGGAGATCCTGACTCTGAGTCTTCACACAACATTAGGCGGACCCTCCTGTCTGGTTCACAGTTTCCCTCTCTGTACAGGGGGCCTGGTGGCTAGTTTCTTCACACTCAGGTCTCTGTGGAGGTGGCCAATGTCCCAGAACTCTGAGGTTTGCAGGCATCAGTGTGACAGTGGGTGTGCTGCTCCTGCAGTCTACTTGCTACTCCTTGGCTCACCTTTCTGAGCCATTCCTGGGGCCCAGGGACTTTGGGACTGAAGGCCTGGACCAGCTGGGGCACCTTTCCCTTGCTGGCCCCACGTCTGTGGCCTTTCTCCTGCAGGATGAGAAAGGAGTGTTCAACTTTGACCATGAGGCAGTGATCAACCCAGAGACGGGGGAGCAGGTAAGCACAGCCTCCCTGGAGCCCGGGAGCCAAGATGGAGGTCATAGGCCAGTCCTGACTCCTGAGTCTCCCCTACCCCCAGATTCAGAGCTGGTACCGGAGTGGAGAGACCTGGGACAGCAAGTTCAGCACCATCGCCTCCAGCTACGAAGAGTGCCGGGCAGAGAGCGTGGGCCTCTACCTCTGCCTCAATCCCCAAGTGCTGGAGTAGGAGCAGTGGGCTAGAGGGGTCCCAGCAGGTGGGGGAGCGGATGCTGGAGGGCAAGACCACCTGTGACTTTTCCCCATCCCAATAGGATCTTTGGCTTTGAGGGGGACAATGCAGAAGACGTGATCTACGTGAACTGGCTCAACATGGTTCGGGCTGGGCTGCTGGCTCTGGAGTTCTACACCCCAGAGGCCTCTAACTGGCGACAGGTAGGGCTGGTGGAGCTGTGGGGACCAGGGAGGGAGCCTGCTGTATGGCCAAGATCAGGATTTTGGGTTCAGGGATGGGTCAACTGTACCCCTAAGGCAGATGAACTGGGTTTAATCCTGAACTCCATTGTTGCTGGAGCATCTGCTGTGAGCCTGTGTCCCTCTCTGTGAAATGGGAGCAATTATCTCTCCCGGCCACCTCTCAGGGTGAATCAGGTGAGACGTTTTACTGCCACAACTAAGAGCTGACTGACTGTGTGCCGGACACAGCACTTGGCACCTCATACAACTGAGCAGTTTGCTCCCCGTTCCTGCCCAGGAGGGAGGCACTCTGAGTCTCCTCATTTTAGAGATGAGGAAATTGAGACACAAAGGGACTGCTTAGCTTGGCTGCTCAGGCAGAGCTAGGATTCATCTCCACAGAGCCACCTCCAGTGCCGTTGGACCACTCAGTTTGGACGTAAGATGAGGAAGCAATGTTACATCATCAAACGAATACTTGTGTGTGTGTGCGGCACTGGGGTTTGAACTCAGGGCCTTGTGCTTGCTAGGTAGTCACTCTACCACTTGAGCCACACCCCCGGCCCTTTTTTTTTTCAGCACTAGGGCTTGAACTCCAGGCCTACACCTTGAGCCACTCTACCAGCCTTTTTTTTGTGATGTTTTTTTGAGATAGGGTCTTGCAGAACTATTTGCCCAGGCTGGCTTTGAACCACGATCCTCCTAATCTCTGCCTCCTGAGTAGCTAGGATTATAGGCTTGAGCCACTAGCGCCTGGTACCCCGGCCCTTTTTGCTTTAGTTTGTGTTTTAGATAGGGTCTCGTACTTTTGCCCTGGCTGGCCTTGGATTGCGATCTTCCTACCTCCCTCTCCTGAGTAGCGAGGATTAGAGTATGCCATCACACTTGGTGAGAATACACATTTTAAAGCCAAGCATCGTGGTGAACAACTGTAGTCTCAGCTACTGAGGGGGCTGAGACAGGAAGTTTGCTTAAGCTTAGGAGTTCAGGGCCAGCCTGAGCAACATAGCAACAAGACCTGACACCAAAAAAAAGAGAGATAGAAATACACATACACATGAAAATATGTATTTTACTGTCTGGAAACTTAGGACTGAGTTCTAGCTCTTCTTTTGCAGCTGTGTGACCCTGAACAAGTCACTGTACTTCTCTGGGCTCTGTTTTATCATCTGTAAAATGAGGGTGATGATGTCTACTTGGTTCTACTGTTAAGCACAAAGTTGGGGAAGAGAAAGTCCTCAGGTGTTGGTGTCAGTGGACCTCAGGAATAGAAGTTGTACTGGGGGTGCTAATTGACTGCTAATGGACGCAGGCCTTGGACTGAGCACCTACCTGTTGGCTAAAAGTGACCCTCTTCCCTCTCGCTCCGCAGGCCCACATGCAGGCGCGGTTTGTGATCCTGAGAGTATTGCTAGAGGCTGGTGAGGGACTTGTGACCGTCACTCCTACCACAGGCTCTGATGGGCGCCCAGATGCCCGGGTCCGCCTGGACCGAAGCAAGATCCGGTCAGTGGGCAGGCCAGCCCTGGAGCAGTTCCTGCGGAAACTCCAGGTAAGTGAGGGGTTCTTGCTTCAAATATCCCCAGCCTCTGCCCAGTCCCCCACCCTCATAGCCTCCTGGTCAGTTCCTTTGAGCATTCAGAAAGTCTTTATAGCCAGTGTTCCTATGTGCCAGAAACTGAGACTATGCTGTAAACAGTTTGTCATGTGATAGGAGGGAAAGCAGATAATGAACAGGTAAACAGTAAGTGAACAAGGTGCCTCAGATCATGGCAAGAGCTGTAATGGCGGTAAAACTGCAGGATGTGAAGGGAAGATTAGAGAGGAAAGAAAGGACCACCCTAGTCAGGTGCTGGTGGCTCACGCCATAATCCTAGCTACTCAGGAGGCAGAGATCTGGAGGATTGTGGTTCGAAGCCAGCCCAAGCAAATAGTTCTGCAAGACCCTATCTCAAAAAAACCCTTCACAAAAAAAGGCTGGTGAAGTGGCTCAAGGTATAGGCCCTAAGTTCAAACCCCAGTACCATTAAAAAAAAAAAAGAAAGAAAGGGCCACCCTTGCTGCAGATCAGGGAGGGCTTCTTGGAGGAAGTGTCATTTGAAGTGGAATTTGCCAAGAAAGAGCCACCTCTGAGGAGATCTGAAAGCAGAAGAAACATCAAGCACCTTTGCCAGGATTAGGACCTAAATGAGTCTGGTGGGTTGAGGGACAAACTGTGGCTAGGGGACCCTGGCTCCTCCCACAGGGGGTAGTTTAGAGTGAGGAGACTTTACCCACAGCAAGTCAGCTGGGTTACTGGGGCAGCATATCCTGCCTCTCTGGCCTCTGCTTTTCCTGTCTGGGTTCCACCCACCCTGCTTAACAAAGATTAAATGAAACAACATGGATAGGGTACAGTGAGCCACACACATGTGGCTCCAGGGCTGCTGACATCAGCACCACCCAGGAACAGGCTGGTAGTACAGATTCCTGGCCCTGTCCCTGCCTCGTGAATCAGGGCCTCTGGGGACCTACACTCAAAAGAGTTCGAGGACCAGTGAGGAGCTGCTCTCTCTTTGCTCTACCTTCCACAACAACAGGGTCCTGTTGGTTCTTTCAGCAATTCACAAATTAAGTGACATATCACAAATCATAAGTTTATGATTTTTAAAATCATGAATCACAATATTGCTTTGTGATTTTATTCCTACCTGTTTCCAAAAAGGATTTAAGGCATTTTTCCAGAAAACATACATGTTTGTGGGCCATGTGTGGTGGTGCACACCCTGCTACTTTGGGGGCAGAGATCAGGAGGATTGTTCAAGGCCAACCTGGGCAAAATGAGACCCTATCTAAAAAACAAACTAAAGCAAAAGGATGGAGGGCGTGGCTCAGGTGGTAGAGCACCTACCTAGCAAGTGTGAGGCTTTGAATTCAAACCCCAGTACTGCAAAAGATGTATGTTTGTAAAATAAGATTAAAATTTAGGAGCTGGGGGATAATTCAGCAGTAAAGTACTTACTACTAAGCACTGGGGTTTGAGCCCCAGCACCACAAAAACAACAACAACAACAAGAAATCAATTAAAACTCACTAGATCCAAAATACAATGTAATGTTTTGAATGGGTCCCGGAATAGGAAAAGCACATTTAGTGAAAAACTACGAAGCCTGAACTGAGTAGAGTTTAGCTCATAGTGAGGGACCAGTTCTGTAAGCAATAACTACTGGAAACAGCTAGAGGCATACAGGAACTCACTGCACTGTCTTTGCAACTTTTCTAGTTTAAACTTGGGTGGTTTTATTTTGGTGGTACTGGTGTTTGAACTCAGGACCTCATGCTTGCTAGGTAGGCACTCTTGAACCATGCTGCCAACCCACAACCTTTCTATAAATCTAATGTTTTTCCAAAATAGTTCATTAAAAATAACAAACCAGAAGGCTAGCTACAAGGTGATGAAGGAGAAGAAAAACAACCCCAAATCATTAAGGGGAAGAATCAAATCTGTCAACTCCTATTTTTATTTATTTATTTATTTTTGCAGTACTGGGGTTTGAACTCAGGGGCTACACCTTGAGCTACTCCACCAGCACTTTTTTGTGATGCATTTTATCAAGATAGAGTTTCTCGAGCTATTTGCTCTGGCTGGCTTTGAACTGTGAGCCTCCTGATTAGCTAGGATTACAGGTGTGAGCCACCGGCGCCCTGCTAGCACAGAGCTTTCTGGAAGGCCCTTCTAGAGACTGAGCCAGCTGGGTCTCTGTACAGATGGAACCGTGCAGCATAACTTTCAGCCTCTGCAGCATGAGCTTTACTGGAGACCTGGGATGTGGGATCACCTTTGGTGTGATGATTTGTATCAGCACCCAGTGGCAGTTCAGAGCATGGCAGTGGGATGGCAAGCAGGACAGCCAGGGGTCCCCAACACAGCCTCCTTTTTGGACCACCTTTTATTATTAAAACTAGGTACAAATCTGTATTTCTGACTTCTTGGAAAACCTAGCAACAGTACGCTCAGTTCCCACGTGACTGGGAAGCCACTGTGCATTTGAACAGGGCAGGGGCTTTCTAGTTTGCTGGGGTCCTCCCCACTCTCTTTACCTACAGTAAGTCTTCTGGGTCCACATACAGATCCATGAATTCAACCAACTATATCAAAAATGTTCAGGAGCCAGGTGTTGGCTCATGCCTGTAATTCTAGTTCCTTGTGAGGCTGAGATCAGGAGGATCATGGTTCGAGACCAGCCGGAGCAAGTAGTTCCTGAGACCCCCCCCCCATCTCCAAAATAGCTGTAATAAAATGGACTGGAGGTGTGGCTCAGTAGACTGCCTGCTTTGCAAGTTTGGAGTGAACTCACACCCTAGTCCCACCAAAATTAAAAAAAAAAAAAAGTGTGGAAAGCTGGGCGTGGTGGTGCACACCTGTAGCCCCAGCACTCAGGAGGCTGAGGCAGAAGATTGCAAGTTCAAGGCCAGTCTGGGCTCTAGCAAGACCCTGTCTAAAATAAGACTAAAAGCATAGCAATGCGTAAACTGGGGGTGTGGCGACCCAATGTTAGAGTGCTTGCCTAGCATGTGTGAGGCCCTGGGTTTGATCCCCAGCCCTGAAAAAATAAAGTGAGTTAAAGACAATTTTTAGACAAACAAAAACAGTTTACCATTAACGTGCCCTCAGTAGCAAAACTTCTACAGGATATAATTGAGGAAAAAAACATAGCTCTGGAGAGAAGTTTCAATAAAGCAAAAGAAATAGTGATAGAAATGGTAGATGTGAGGATAAATGTACAGTACGAACTTCATCCAGCAATAAAAATGTTCCATTTGTGGGGTTGAAAAAGAGGCTTGAATACTGGATCACAGCAGCATATAAGTCATGGAATTGGAGTGGATACTGTAGGGTCCTTTTATAATTTGGGAGAAGGATAAATATATTCTTATCAGACTTTACTAAGTGTACAGGCCATAATTTCTAGGGCAAACACTAAAATAATCAAAATAGAGAGTATAATTCCAAAACTAAATCTAAAAGAAGACAAGCAAGGTGGAAAAAGTATAAGACCAATAACTTAATAGTGAAAAAAAAAAAAAGAAAGGAAAAAGAAAAACCTGATGTAAAAACAGGCAATGGACATGAATAGACACTTCTCCATCCAAGGTATACCAATGACCAACAAGTATTTAAAAAGACACTCAACATCACTAACCATCAGAGAAATGCAAATCAACCACAATGTCTGATCACCTCATACATGTTAGGATGGTTATCATCGGAAAACAAAAGATAACGAGTGGTGATGAGGACATGGAGTGATTGGAACCCGTGAACACTGTTGGAGGGACTGTAAGATGGTATAGCCGTCATGCAAAACAGTGTGAAGTTTCCTTAGAAGATTAAAACTGGAACTACCATGAGATCCAGCAATCTCACTTCTGGGTAGTTATCTAAAAGAATTGAAGTCAAGGTTTCAAAGAAAGATATTTGCACTCCCATGTTCATTATAGCATTATTCACAACAGCCAAGATGTGGAGACAACTTAAATATCCATCAGTGGATGAGTAAATAAAGACAATGTGGTATGTCCATACAATGGAATATTATTTGACCTTGAAAAGGTAGAAAATTCTGCCTTATTCAACATACAACAACATGGATGAAGCTTGAGGATTTATGCTAAGTGAAATAAGCTCATCCAGTAAGTAGATCACACACTGTTGGCATCATCTCTCCAAGTTGTGCATTCATGTAACACAGACCTGCGAGTTCTGGAAAAACTTGCATCTGTTCATGAAGAGACATATGAGGATATTTGCAGCTGCAAAATGCACAAATTAGGGCTGGGGATGTAGCTCAGTGATAGATCACATGCTTAGCATGCAGGAGGCTCTGTGTTCATTCAATCCAGCACTGCATATACACTCACTTGAGAAAAGCACAGATTACACATCAACAATAGAAGAGATTAAGTCATGTGTTTTTGAGTGGACTATGATACAGCAGTGAGAAGAACTATATAGCTGTATGTGTTAATACAGCTGAATCTCAAACATAATTTAAACAGAAAGGGCAAATATATATAGTTCAATAAGAGGCAAAAAAAAAAAAAAAAAATAGGTGATTTAGCCAGGCAGTGCCAGTGGCTCACACCTCTAATCCTAGCTATTCAGGAGGCAGAGATCAGGAGGATTACAGTTTGAAGCCAGCCTGAGCAAATAGTTTGTGAGACCCTATCTTGAAAAAAACAATCACAAAATAAGGGCTGGTGGAGAGGCTCAAGATATAGGCCTTGAGTTCAAGCCCCAGTACTGCAAAAAAAAAGGTGATTTAAAATAAAATTTACAAAGGTAATCATAAGCATAAGCATAGAATTAAAAACAGTGGTTTGTTCAGATGGGGAAGCTGCAAATGGGGGCAGGTGAACTAACTTATGTGGATTGGTAAGTGTCTGGTTGTCTATCTCATTATCTTGTATGATATATATACTATCTATGTTGTGTGCTATTTTTAAAGGGGTGGGTCTTTGGGGGTACAGAATCAGTGGTTGAATATTTGCCTAGCATGACAAGGCCCTGAGGTTGATCCCTAGCAGCACAAACAAAACAAAACAAAAAAACGGGTACCAGTGTCTTGCATCTGTAATCTTTACTTGTAGCTACGAACACAAAAAAGGGCTGGTGGAGTGGCTCAAGTGGTAGAGCACCTTCTAAGAAAGCATGAGTCCCTAAGTTCAAACCCCAGTACAAAAGCCAAAAAAAAAAAAAAGGACAAGAGATGCATTTCTCACAGTTTGGGAGGCCCTGGCATTGGCAGGTTCAGTGTCTGGTAAGCGATGTGCTTCTCTTCTAAGATGGTGACTTGGAGGGAAGGAAACCTACATTCTCACATGGTTATTAAGTCATTACATTTTAACCCGTGAGCCTTGGAGGAGACAAACCATAGCACAGACTGTCCAGGGCTGGGCAACATCAGCCCTGGCCCCTGGCAGAGTCTTGTGGATGCAAGGGGAGTAGACGCTTACTCCTTCCTTCCTTCCTTCCTACAGGTGCTCAAGTCCACAGGGGATGTGGTCGCAGGGCGGGCCCTGTATGAGGGGTATGCAGCAGTCACTGACGCGCCTCCCGAGCGCTTCCTCACCCTCAGGGACACAGTGCTACTGCGCAAGGAATCTCGGAAGCTCATCGTTCAACCCAACACTCGCCTTGAAGGTAATGCACTTTGATGGGCCACTCAGCCTTTAATTAGCACAAAATTTCCTCTCCTGTTCCCTCCCTGCCGTGGTCCTTCACCTGCCAAACCTCAGCCTGCACCTTGGCATCTCCCACCACACACACACACACAAGGTCATGCTAATTGTCAAACAGCAACAGAAGGTCTGAGGAAAGCAGGCAGAGAAGGGGTGTGTGGGCAACCAGGCCAGGAACTGGAGAATCTTGTGCACCCCCACACCAGGTCAGGTCAGGCAATGAGCTGGGGCCATGCGGGCCAAACAGAACCAAGGGAGAATCTGACTTGGCAGTATCCAGGGTGGAGATCAGCTCCATCATCCTTCTGTCTTCTCAATTGACAATTCCATTTCCAAATGCCCTGATCCTGTTTGTGTGGCGCTTGTTCCTAGTGTTCCTTCCATTTCTCCAACACATTGAACCCACTCCATTCCTCCAGCCTTTGTACACACTGTTCCCTCTGCTTGGCACGATTGTCCCCCAGATCTATGCCTGTCTGGTCCTTCTTGTCACTCAGACCCTTATTAAATGGCACCGTCTCAGCTGCCCTAACCTCTTAGCACAAAGTGACCCCTTCAGCATCTATCTTTCAGCTGATTTTCTTGGTGCATCCATCATGCTTGACCATTTACTTATCTGTCTCATTTCGATGGCAGCAGGGACTGCATACCCAGGCCCCTAGAATGGGGGCAACTGCTCCATGTTGTCAAATGAGTGAATGGACAAGCCATGCTGGCCCCATGGACAACCATTGCTTTGCTATGTCCATTCTGGTGGGAGCCATTGAGGGCTGGAGAGGTGAATGGGACCTGAGCCTTCCCCTTAAGCAGTTTAGGGCTCATTAAATGATAGGACATGGAGCTAATAATTATACAAGGGAAGCATTAATGAGTGCCCAAAAATATACTAACAGTGCACTGAGCACTCAAACGAAAGATCCCATTTGTCTTCAGAAAACCTGGGGAGTGTCTATGAAGGAAGAGATGGTTAAACTAGACCTGAACTGCCAGGCTCACTCCTGTAATTCCAGTTATGTGAGAGGCTGAGATTAGGAGGATCGTGGTTTGAGGCCAGCCTGGGCAAAATAATCAGAGCAAAATGAACTGGAGGTGTGACTCAAGCAGTAGAGTATCTGCTTTGCAAGCACGAAGCCCTGAGTTCAAACCTCAGTCCCACCAAAACTAGAGCTGAAGAACAGGTTGGATTTTCAGCTTGTAGTAGTGGTAACCTGGGATTGGCTAAGTGGTAGAGGTTTGCCTAGCATGTAAGAAGCACTGGGTTCCACCACCAGTACCACAGGGTTAACAAACAAAAAACAACAAAGGTAGTGGTGGTGGTGAGGATAAGGGCTAACTTTTGAGGTCTTCCAGGTGCCAGGCATAAAAACTTTTCATGGATTAACTCCCAACAACTCAATGAGAAATGTTTATTTCTCCCAGGTTTCAGGTGGAAACTGAAACAGACACACAGAAGGGCTGTGTGTTTTTGTCTGAGGTCACACAGCCACTTGAGGGCAGAGTCAGGACATAAACCTAGGCACCTAAGCCCAAGCATGTGCTCTTAACTATTGTTCCCCACTTGGTGCCACTGCAGTAAGAAGGCAGAGCAGCTGAGTGCGTCACTTTCCCATGAGTACTTGGGACCCCAGAACAGGTCCACTTAACAGGTGGGTAAAGGGTTCAGAGATGCTGCTACTGGATGTGGCTGGCCTTTGTGGGGCACCCAACCAATGCATGTAATCACCACAGCTCCTGATAGATGGGATTCTGTGCTCACCCCCACTTTATAGATGAAGAAACTGAGGCTTAGAGAGGTTGGGAAAGTTGCTCATAGTGTAGACAGAGATGAAACAATTTTTGAACTGTAAGCTCCAGGAGACCAAGGACTAGCATCTGGTGTAAATCTTTTTTGTTGCTAATTTGGGGGCTTGGGTTTTTTTTTTTTTTTTTTTTTTTTTTTTGACTGGGTTTTACTATGTAACCCAGGCTGACCTGGAATTCAGGATCCTCCTGCCTTAGCCTCCTGAGTGCTGGGATTACAGGCCTGCTCTACCACACCCTGCTTAGTGTAAATCTTTTTTTTTTTTTTCAGTACTGGAGAGTTTCAATTCAGGGACTGATGCTTGAAAGCAGGCACTCTACAACTTGAGCCCCACTGCCATCCCTGTTTAAATTATTTTTCAGATAGGGTCTCAAATTTTTGCCCAGGGTCTGCCTCCGTAGAAATCCTCCTACCTACAGCCTCCTACCTAGGTGGATCATAGATGTGTGCCAGCATGGCTGGCTTATTAAGATGGTCTTTGCCTGGACTGGCTTCAGATTTCAGTCCTCCTGATCTCGTCTCTGAGCAGCAATGATTATAGGTATGAGCCACCATGCCCAGCATTGGTATAAATCTTAAAAAAGGGAGAAATGCAGGTAATAATTCATTTAATTATAATATTTCCTTCCTAATAATATTTCCTTCCCTATAATATTTCCTTCCTAGCCCTGGTGTTATAAGGGCTAAATTAGATAATTAACATTGAGCCCAGGCTTTTGCGCAAGAGCTCAGTACGAGCTCCTGTGCCTATGTTGTTATGATTATGCTCTCCTATTTACATCTTTCCCTACTTCTGTTTTTTCTCGTTTCCTCTTCTCAGGCTCAGAAGTGCAGCTCCTCGAGTATGAGGCCTCGGCTGCTGGCCTCATCCAGTCCTTCTGTGAGCGCTTCCCAGAGGATGGGCCTGAGTTGGAGGAGGTCCTTACCAGGCTAGCGAAAGCAGATGCCCGCTTCTGGGGGGAGCCCCAGTGAGGCCCCATCTAACCTGACTAGAGAAGATCTGCATGGTCCCTTCCCCTTGCATCAAACCAGGGCTGCTAGAGCCCTGCATTGTGTGTAATTAGGGGCCAAGGGAGGGGTGGGAGCTCGGACTTTGGTGCTACCTCAGCAGAGGGTGGTGACACTAACCCCTTCCATTGCCAGCACTTTCCAGTTTACCAAGTGCTTCCCCCTGTGTTACTTGTTCTACGCTGCCATCTATGGAGTGAACATGATAGGGCTCCTAGTCTGATTTCCCACGTGACAAAGTGGCAGTTCTGAGAATTGACTGGTCTAGATCCCACAGGTAGTATGTGACAGAGCCAGGGTTTAAAACATTCTCACCAAATCCAGTGCTCTTCATGTATTTCTTTTATAACCAGAAAAATAAATATCTAAAACAACCACCATCCTTACAGTGTGTGTGATTCCTGCTTTGCTCTCTGGAGGACAGTTGTATCAAAGCCTGGGGAGGGAGCGGGTGGTCACTTTTGGCCACTGGTCCACAACAGAATTTTGACATTATCTCTAAATGAGGATGCACAGTCACAGCACAATTTTTGTAGCCCTTCTTTCTGGCATTTCTTGCATTAAAAAATATTTCAGGATCCTCAAAACTAGAAACAGTCTATTTCAGCCAAGGTCCTCCACATTGCCCCTTAATCCTAGTGTTTTGCATCTCGGATCACAGGCAGCCAGAAAGGATACGTCCATTTTCAACCCGGTTAACCATGAAGACCAAGAGTTTGCTTAGATGTTAGCGGGGCCCCTCTCAAAGCCTCGAAGCCAGAGAACCCTGTCCGCGACCTAGAAGTTGTAGGGCCCAGGACACACAAATCAAAATAAACTGGGACGAGGGACTGTGCCTCAGCGGGCCGCACCTGGCATGTGTCTTGTAGGCCCTGGCCCAGAAAGCCTCACTCCGGAACCTTTGTACACGCGCTTCCTGGTTCCCCGGGCACGGTTGAGTGCTGCGCGGCGGCGTGGGCGGGGCAGGTTGCTATGGTGACGCCTGCGAAGATGGCTGCTGCTGCTTCCTTGGATTCCGACAGCTGCGTAGCTCAGAGGTGAAGGCTGGGGTCCTCGTCGCTTCCTTTCCCACAAATCTAAAGAGGGTGCTAGATGTCTGGGATGAGGGCTCATACAGCTCTCAGGCAGCGCTAGAAGTTCCCGAAAGGCTCTTAAACATCAGATGGGGGGGCTTGCGGAATGGCTCAAGCCGTAGAGCGCCTGCCTAGCAAGCGTGACGCCCCGAGTTCAACCCCCAGTGCCGCCAAAAAACAAAAAAGAAAAAGAAAAAAAATCAGATAGGGAAACCGACGTCCAAGGAGTTTGAGAGCCTGGACTTGAACCCAGACGTTCCATACTCTCCGTTCAGAGCCCCCTGCACTCCTCAGTCTCAGAAGCAGCTCCCTCAAAATATGCTTCCCCTCCCGCGGAACTCATTACCCCGCTCGCTTCCCCTCCCCCCCTTCCAGCAATGAGGCCAATTCGAAATGGCTGGACGCGCACTACGACCCCGTGGCCGACATCCACACGTTTTCAGCCTGCCTGGGTGAGTCTCGTGCCCCATCGAAGAGGATGGGGAGGTCGGAAAAAGTCACATGGTGAAGGGTCTAGAATTCTTAGAGTCTGATTTATGGCCTTTTTGTGTTTTCCAGCGCTGGCAGATTTGCACGGGGACGGGGAGTACAAGGTAAGCAATCACCCAGCATAGAGTTGGGGTGTGGGAAGTGTAGCCAGAAGTGAGATTTTCCCCTAGCCCCAAAGAGGCTCAACACAATCTGGAATTAGCATGTACTGAAAAAGCATATTCAGTCTTAAATTTTATTTTTGCTTAGAAAGAGAAGAGAACCTATTAATTTCATAATACAGCTTGCAGCAAGTAAAGCAGAACAAAATGTACTGGGATTTTACCAAGAGGAAGCCTCCTGATTTAGACATTGACACAATTCCTTGCTTAATGGGCAGATTCCTTTGTTGAGGGTGGGCATTCGAACCTGGAGGGAAAATAAACTGAGGGAAGTGAGAGAGTTGTGTTTATCAAGCTGGGGCGGGGAAGTGGCCCAAACAATGTATACACATGTAAGTGTAAAAACCATGATATAAAATTAAAAAAAAAAAAAAAAAGAGGGCACAGAGCCAGGCACCCATGGTTTACGCCTGTGATCGTAGGGTACTCAGGAAGCAGAGATCAGGAGGATCGAGGTTTGAAGCCAGCCTGGGCAAATAGTTCATGAATAGATATTACCTTTGGTTATGATTGGAAATTTTCCATTGTAAGATTAAATTTTAATACAAAGATAAAAATGTGAACAAAGAAATGTATAGCTCTATGGTAGAATACTCGCCTATCATGTTGGAGGCATTTAAGGCCCAACACCAGCACAAAGCTTAAGCCTAAGTAGAGGCTCTTAGTCCCTTAGACTAAATGAGCCATCTTCTCCCTGCAGCTGGTGGTGGGAGACCTTGGCCCGGGTGAACGGCAGCCCCGTCTGAAGGTACTCAAAGGACCAACAGTGCTGACAGAAAGCCCACTGCCTGCACTGCCAGCTGCTGCTGCCACCTTCATTATGGAGCAGCATGAGCCCCGAACTCCAGCTCTAGCGCTCGCTTCAGGCCCTTGTGTCTATGTGTATAAGAATCTTAGACCCTACTTCAAGTTCAGCCTGCCCCAGTTGCCTCCAAACCCTGTGGAACAAGACCTTTGGAATCAAGCCAAAGAGGTAAGCAGCATAGGGGATGGCAAAGATGGCAGCTCATTGGGTGAGGAGGGCCAGCTCCCAGCAAGAAGAGTAGACTCTCAGGTGAGCCAGTGGTAGGAAGTGAGCCATAACCCATCTCTGGCAGCAACAGTGGTGGCCCTTCTGGGTGAGGTACTGTGCTCAGCAGTGGCTCCCATGGAGTCACTGGGCCAAGCCCTTTGGAGAGAGGAACTCAGAGAAACCATCTGCGCTAGCCACACCCCTGCCCACCTGTGAGGAGGGAAAAACCAAAGAAGCTAGGAGACTAGAAGCAGCAAGAGCCAGGGGCCTTTGGGAGGGCATCGATAAAAGAGGGCGATGTGCATGGCTCTTGCCCTGAGCTGGATTCAAATCAAATCAAGGGCTTGGGGCTTAGGAGGGAAGTGGAAAGGAAGAGGAACCACGTGAAGCCTGGTACTTTCTGAAGGCACAGGTACTGTACCTCACAGGCTCTTCTTTCTGTGCTGTCACAGGACCAGATAGACCCCTTAACCCTGAAGGAGATGCTGGAGGGGATCAGGTGAGCACTCACCTTCTCCCTCCATTTTCCTCCCCCACTGCTTCATCCCAAAGCTTTCAGTCTGACACCCAGGGACCCTTTCTGTTCCTCCACTAAACCTGCCATGCTGGCTGCTCTCCTTGCAGGGAGAAGGCAGAGGTGCCTTTGTCTGTACAGTCACTCAGGTAAGGGTACTGTGGAAGTATGGGGGGTGGAGGTGGGAAGGGGGTGGCTGTGGACAGGCCCCAAGGACAGCTAGGCCGGACAATGCAGATGCCAGGTCTCTGTGTGTCCAGGTTTCTGCAGCTGGACCTAAGTGAAATGGAGGCGTTTGTGAACCAGCACAAGTCCAAGTCCATCAAGCGGCAGGTATTGCCATTCTCTTTTTATTGCTCTGTAAAAATGTGTGCATGTTTTTTAAAGACTATGTGACATGTTGATAAGTTCTACAACCAAACCTGACCAACGTTACCTTGCAGTTTCCCCTCTAGCCACACCACAAAACAGTTAACAGTGACAGCTTTGAACACATAAATATGTAACGTTATGTAACTTGCATATAAGTTTTACTTTGAGAGTAAAAATACATTTTTATTACAAAGAATTTAGAAAATAAAGTGAAATATAAAAAACTTTAATTTTACTATCCAGAGATATCCACTCTCACCATTTTGGTTCATTTCCTTCACAAATAGGCTTTTATATACTGCCTCCTTTGAGTATATAACATTATATTTTGAGAACTTCATTTTTAGTGGTCCATTGATCGTTCATGATTTCACTCACAGTGTGTGTGGAACCATTCACCTGGATGTAAATGGTTCCACGAGAAGTATCTCCTTTTATCCCCCCATGTTCTCCTCAGTTTTAATCTTTGTGGCTTCATTGATGAGCTCTGGTGCTTCCTGACCTAGTGGTGTTGGAATGGTGGCTGTTGGCATGCACTAGACCAGTTCTCATTGTTGCTGACCAATAGATGGGTCCGCAGTTGTCACCATCTTTGAGTACTTTTCAAGCCATAAAAGTGAATTAATTATTCATTTGGAGAGAAAGGGATAATCTTTCTCGGCATGTGTCATGGTTATATGCCTGGGAACCACTAATGTCTGTCCACATTTCTGTGACCTTTTACTTTCCACTACTCACTGGAAATGATTCCTCTTTTTTTTTTTTTGTAGTACTAAGATTTGAACTCAGGGCCTCATGCTTGCTAGGCAGGTGCTCTACCACTTGAGCCACTCTACCAGCTCTTTTTTGTGTTCAGTATTTTTGAGATAGGGTCTCAAGAACTATTTGCCTGGGCTGGCCTTGAACCACAATCCTGATCTCTGCCTCCTGAGCAGCTAGGATTACAGGCATGAGCCACTGGTGCCCTGCCTCTTTTTCAGTCTTAATGATGATCACACAATGAGCAACTAATTTACTCAGAGAAGAACATTTTGGTTCTGCTAATTTCCATAACAGAAATTCCTTTAAAAAGGAGCATCACTTTTCTGTGGTTTGATGTCCAGTTTAATTACAAAAAGAGCATGTGACCACTGTAGAAATTCCAGAAAAGCACCACTATCTCATTGTCCAGACATAACCAGTGTTTGTGTTTGAGGGGTTAGCCCTCTAGCATTTTTGTATGTTCATGTATTTTCTAAACTGGATTTTTATACTAACATTTTACCTAATTTTTCTCTTCCATTAGAAACATTGAGTCTTGCTTTAAAATGTGTATGTGTGTGACTGGGGTTTGAGCCCAGGGTCTCACACTTTCTAGGATGGCTCTACCACTTGAGCCACTCCACCAGCTCTGTGTATGTTTTTAATGGCTACATTATTTTTTGTCATAAGAATGGTTCATAAATGATTTAGAAAGGCTCATTTGCTAGGAAGTTACACTTGTTGCAGTAAACACCTTTGCACGTAAATACGCTATCCATTTCTGATGCTTCCTCCTCCTCCTTTGCCCTCTTTCTTCCCTCCTGAGGCATCAGGGGGTGGGGGAGAATGGTGGGAGTTCCTTGAGTGACCCCTGGAGTCATTCTGCAGACAGTCATCACCACCATGACCACCTTGAAGAAGAACCTGGCTGATGATGATGCTGTGTCCTGCCTGGTCCTGGGCACTGAGAACAAGGAGATCCTAGTCCTTGACCCTGAGGCCTTCACCATTTTAACCAAGGTCAGTGTCAGGTATGGCCCTGGGCATTTCTAAGACCCAGGCTGCATTCTCTCCCTGTGACCTCAGTTAGTTCTAAGTAGTATGCATTCACTGTAGAAAAATCAGAAACTGTAGATGAGCATAAAGAAAAATCTCACCCACCACCTATGGAGATCTGTTAAAGTTTTGGCATGTATCCTTCTAGACATGTCCATATGTAAATGGTTATGTAATTTCATACAAATTCTGTAAGTTTATATTAATATCCTTATAAAAATGGGATCAACCAGGCGCCGGTGGCTCATGCCTGTAATCCTGGCAACTCAGGAGGCAGAGATCAGGAGGATTGTGGTTCGAAGCCAGCCTGGGCAAATAGTTTGCGTGCGAGACCCTATCTCGAAAATACCCATCACAAAAAGGTCTGACAGAGTGGCTCAAGGTGAAGCAAAAAAAAAAAAAATCCAGGATCATAGTATAGGATCATGTAACTTTATCATTTCACATCACAGTGTGTCATCAGTGTCCTCCCATGTCTATTAAACTACATCAGCCTTTTAAAAGGTCACACATGTCCATTACATAAAAGTACCATATAGAAATGTATTTACTCTGCCCTTGTATACATTTAAATTGCTTTCAGTTTTGTACTGTCCGTTGCAGTGGTCTTCCTTGCCCAATGTCTTTGCATGCTTGTCTAAATACTTCCTAACCATGTAGTTCTCCAGGTAGCAATTTAGGCAAAGGATACAGACTAAAAGGCTTTGCTACACAGCGTTGAATGTCCCTCCAGAATTTGAGCAACAGAGAATGAATGGGGAGATTGAGACTTGAGACAAGAAACTAATTCACAGGACTTACCTCATGCCAGGGAGGGACTGTGGCTCTGAGAGATCAGGGTGTTTGAGCCTCTTCTTTGCAGATGAGCCTTCCTGGTGTCCCTGTCTTCCTGGAGGTTTCAGGCCAGTTTGATGTGGAGTTCCGGCTTGCAGCTGCCTGCCGCAATGGGAGTGTCTACATCCTAAGAAGGTAGCCACAGATGTGGGTTCTGGGCTAGAGGAACACTTCAGAAAACTGTGGTTTCAGAGACTTGCAAGATGAGCAGGAGAATTTGGAGCTGGACTTTGGGGATGAAAAAAGTTCAGAATTGTATAAAGATGCTGGGCACCAGTGGCTCATTCCTATAATCCTAGCTACTCAGGAGGCAGAGATAAAGAGGATCCCGGTTTGAAGCCACCCTGGGCAAATAGTTCACAATACCCTATCTGAAAAAAATATTACTAAAAAGGGCTGGTGGAGTGGCCCAAGGTATAGGCCCTGAGTTCAAACCCCAGCACCAAAAAAAAAAAAAAAAAATTTATAAAGGAGGCCGAGTCTGTGAGTGTAGAGGGGATATCCAGAGGCTTGTGAGGCTTGTGAGGCAAAGCCAGAGCCTGGCAGGGTAGCTTTAATTTATGAACAGTGCAGTCAGAAGTTGGAAGAAATAGTCTCCTGCATTTGTTATATCATTTTATAGTGATGTGATACTTATGCATTAGTTTGATAGTCCATACTTTTTTGTGTGTGTGTGGTACTGGGGTTTGAACTTAGGGTCTTCACCTTGAGCCACTACACCAGCCCTTTTTGTGATGGGTTTTTTTCAAGACAGGCTCTCACAAACCATTTGCCCATTCTGGCTTCGAACCTCGATCCCCCTGATCTCTGCCTCCTGAGTAGCTAGGATTACAGGTGTGAGCCACTGATGCCTGGCCCTCCATACATACATTTTTTAACTCAAGGAATTTATTGAACACTTACTATGTCTTAAACATTGTACAGGGTATTGGGGACATATTGATGAACAAAGTATTATACATATGGTCCCTGCATTCATGGTGAAAGAAGACATTAAAGTTAACAAATGAGGGCAGGAGGGAGAAATGACCCAAGCCTTGTATGCACATATGAATAATAAAAAAATAAATAAATAAAAATAAAGTTAACAAACCAAGACATTGCAAATTGGATGAATGCTGTGGAGGAAAAATACAGGCACAGTGGGGAAACTACAACATGGTAAGGGTAATCAGGAACACCTGTCTGTAGAAGTGGCTTGAAGATGAAGAAGGAGCCAGTTGTTCAAAAAGTGGGAGGAGCCAGGCAGCAGTGGCTCACACCTGTAATCCTAGCTACTCAGGAGGCAGAGATCAGGAGGATCATGGTTTGGAGCCAGCCTGGGCAAATAGTTCATGAGACCCTATCTTGAAAATACCCATCACATAAAGGGCTGGTGGAATGGCTCAAGGTTGAAGGCCCTGAGTTTAAGCCCCAGTAGTGCATAAAGAAAAAAGGTGGGAGGAAAGCTGGATGTGGTGGCACCCATCTGTAGGCTCAGCACTTGGGAGGCTGAGGAGGGAGGATCACTTAAGCCCAGGAGTTCAAGATTGGCCCGGACAACAGAGAAAGACCCCATTTCAAAAAAAAAAAAAGACTTGCGCATGTACAACTCGATCTTGGTGGGCAAGGAGGATGGTGGGAAGAGAAAATATGGAGACCAAGGTTACCTTGTGCAGGACCTGGTAGGATGTGGCAGAGATTTTGAATTTTATCTGAAATTCAGTGGAATACCATTATGGGGTTTTAATCAGAAGAATGATGTGATCCATTTGCATTTAAAAAAAAAAAAAAACTACTCTGGCCATGTGTGGTGGCACAGGTCTCTGTAGTCCCAGCTACTTAGGAAGCTAAGGTGGGGGATCACTTGAGCCCAGCAACCTAGGCAACAATAGCAAAAAAAAAAAAAATAGCATCTCCAAAAAAAAAAAAAAAAGACACTGCTTCAAGTGGTAGAACACCTGCCCAATGTGAGGCCCTGAGTTCAGACCACAGTACTGCCAAAGAAAAAGACAATGGTGGGTGGAGAGTGATTGGAAGGAGGCCTAGAGGCCAATGGGGGCTCTCATAGTCATCAGATGGGCCATGGTGTTGGCCTGAAGAAGGGTGGTCATAGCATGTGGTTGGAAGGCAAAAATTACCCCCACTTTCTGGATAAAGAAACTAAGACTGAGAGGCCCAGAAACTGAAAACTGTGTTTACACCATGCAGACTCTTCATCTCTTTCTGATAAATCAGTAAATGGTCCAAGTCCACTAGCACTGGCTAGACTAGTCTAAGGTAAGCTCACTGAAAAGTGTCCAATGCCAGGCTACTATACAAGTCACCATAGTGACTGTTGCAGGAGGCGACAGGCTTAGAAAAAAAACTTGATGTGTTCCCAGGTCACATATCTACTAAGTGGTGGAGGTAAACACAATCCCAGGGTCCTTTGCCCAGTAGCCAGGGTTCTTCACCACCTAGTAGTCTGTGGGGCTTAGAAGGAAGAGGATCACCAGGGCAGTGAAAGAAAAAGTTTCTCTGGGATGGAGCAGTGTTTCTTTATTTCACAGAGACTCCAAGCGCCCCAAGTACTGCATCGAGTTGAGCGCCCAGCCCGTGGGGCTTGTCCGGGTACACAAGATCCTGGTGGTGGGTAGTACCCAACAAAGCCTGCAGGGCTTCACTTACAAGGTATGGTCTCCAGCAGGCCTCAGCCCCTCCACGTCTGTCTGCCCAGACCCCCTGGCAGAGAACCCTTCCGAATACCTCACAATTCCCGCCCCCCTTCTTTTCACTGAAAGCCCTGAGTCCCCTGCAGACACTAGCTTTTCCCTGCCAGGGTAAGAAGCTTTGGACAGTGCAGTTACCTGCAGCCATCCTGACCATGAATCTCCTGGAACAGCACTCCCGGGGTCTGCAGGCTGTCATGGCTGGACTGGCCAATGGAGAGGTCCACATTTATCGCGACAAGGCCCTGCTCAATGTCATCCATACCCCGGTAAGCCTTACCTCTGGTTTCTGCTTCTGGCTCCTCCTCGCCCCAGTCCCACTCTGGAGCTTCTTCACTGCCTCTCCTGACTTCACAGTGATGCATCTCAAAACATTTGTCGAGGCTAGATACGGTGGCGTGTGTCTAACCAGCTACTTGGGAGGTGGAGCTCAGGAGGATCACAGTTTGAGGCCATCTTGGACAAAAAGTTAGCAAGATCCCGTCTCAATTAATAAACTGGGTGTGCTGGTTCATGCCTGTACTCCCAGCTAAGAGGAGGTTGTAGGTAGGAATATCACAGCCTAAAGCTGACCCCGGAAGAAATCTTGAAGACTATCTGAAAAATAACTGAAGCAAAATGGCTGGGAGCATGACCCAAGTGGTAGAGCACCTCCCTAGCAAGCATGACACCCTGAGTTCAAACCCCAGCACTGGAAAAAAAAAATGGGGGGGCGTAGATAAGGTAGATTGGAGTCTTAGGTGGCAGGTCGCAAATATCCTGACATAGACAGCAAAATCCATTGGAGATTTGTTTTTGAAAGGCAGAAAGGTAGCAATGCAAAGGCCAGATTGAAGAGAAAGACTAGATGGGTACTGATTATGAATTTACCACAAAAGAGAGGACCAGTGGTGTTCAGTCTGGAACTTTGACATAGCAGTGAGGTCGGAGGGGAGATGGGAAGTATAGTAACTTACTTCCAAAGCAGCATCGCCCTCAGCCTCTCACATCTCACACTGTAACTGGGGTCTCCCTTCTACCCCCATCTTGCTTTCCTCTCCAAGATAGTTCCCCAATTAAACGCTGTTGTCCCCTTGTAGGATATGGTGACTAGCCTTTGCTTTGGCCGATACGGGCGAGAGGACGACACCCTCATCATGACTACTAAAGGTGAAGGGACTCAGACCTGGCAAGGGTGTTGGTGTTGGAGTAAAGGGGACAAGCCAGATTCTGGGGAGAGGAGGAGGTGGAGCTGAAACATGGGTGAACCCAGGCGAAAAGCTAGGCCTGCAGACACAGCCTCTCTGGGGCTGGGTCACTGTCACAGTGCATCAGCAGTTTGAATTTCTCTTCCCAGGGGCCAGGCTCTGGGCTGGCCAGTGTCTGTCTGGTTTATGCCAGTATTCCCATCATCTGCCACAATGCTAGTAACATCACAGCACTCCATAAAATAGCTGCTAAATGAATTAGTTCATTAAGGCTAGGAGACTGTTGCTCCTTCCAGAAACTGAGTCTTGTCATAAAAGCAGACATGTACAGAAATGGTTCTAGATGAGGTTGATTGTTTTGGAAGAAAGAATGGGAATGAGGACCTGGAGAAGAAAATCTGTTTTCATCTGTCTGTCTTCCAGGTGGTGGCTTGATCATCAAGATCCTGAAGCGAACAGCAGTGTTTGTGGAGGGGACAGGTGAAGTGGGCCCCCCGCCAGCTCAGGCCACGAAACTTGACGTGCCCAGAAAGACTCGGCTCTATGTGGATCAGACCCTGAGAGAGCGGGAAGCTGGCACTGGTAAGACTTGAACTCCCAAGCAGCGGGAACTGGGTAAATGTCACTAGGTGCCCTGAGCAGGATTTGGAGCCCAGCACTGTGGATGCAGGAATAGCAAGGTTTCTGCTATTGCTCTTTGGGGTGTTCAGAGCCAGGGCAGACCCTAGATTCTCCAGGGAACAAGATGGAGAATGGAAAGAGAACCAAAGTCAAGACTTGGGGAAAACACCAGCCTTGAGGTTGGAACAGAAGGAAGCCAGGGAAGGAAACTGAGATGGTGGGGGCAACAAGGTGGTGAAGAACTAGGAAGGAGAAGTAAGGTGTGATCCATTGCATCCAGTATGTCAGAAGGCTGGGCCACTGGTCTTACCCATTCTGGTCTTATTCCCAGCCTCTGCAAGCCCTGCCCAGCACACCTTCCTGGCCACGCTCCCCTCAGCGCCTGAGCAGGAATACCCTTCCCCACTCCAGCCTCACCTTTGTGTCCCCTCCTCAGCCATGCACCGGGCCTTCCAGACAGACCTCTATCTGCTGCGCCTCCGGGCTGCTCGTGCGTACGTGCAGGCTCTCGAGTCCAGCCTGAGCCCCATGTCAGCCACAGACCGGGAGCCGCTCAAACTGCATGCTGTGGTGAGTGTCCAAGTATGGGGGTGTCAGGGCCAAAAGGCAGAAAGCAGTGGTGGGTGGGAACCCCCTGCCACACAGGTATGTCCCTGGAACAAATGCCAACCTTACTAAGCCCCATGCTTCTGTCTTACCTCCCCACAGACCCAGGAACTGAGTCCCATGTCGTCCTAGGAGAGCTGCTTTCACCTGCTGGCCCTCCTGTGCTGCCCTCTTTTTGAGGCTGGCCATAGAGGATGCTATCTAGCCCTGTTCCATGCTGTACCTCACATAAGCCCACAGATTTTGGGTGTGGAACACAGAATAGTCACCTTGGGATATTTCTTCCCAAAAGCCCAGAGGGTACCTCCTGGCTATAGTACAGGGAAGAAAACTGTTCTCTTCAGTAGCCTTGAGCAACCCAAGGCATCAGGACTGACAGCCTGGTACAGGGAAGGGCCACCCTGACCCAACTCCAGGCATCCTGGGATAAGCACAGGCATGAGAGAGGAGGAAGAGCCCACACACACCCAGATACAAGTGACTACAAGTGACCTCAAGATCCCTGGCTCCAGCTTTCAGTGGGGTCCTGAATGTGTCTTCTGAGCCACTGGGTTCCAGTTGCTCTTTTCCTAAAGAGAGAGAGAGAGTTTAGATGTAGAAGAGGAAGAGGTTACAGACAACTCAGTAAGAGGGAGAAAATGAAATCATTGAGGCCACCAAGATGAGAGAGGGAGGTAGAGGAGCCCAGGGACAGCAGTGAGCACACAGCAAGGAGTCAGGGCCCCAGCCCCAGGCCAGCTCTACTTCTGAGTTGCTGAGTGTCCTTCAGTACCTTTCCCCTCTCTGGGCCTCTGCTGACCCTTGTAGACATGGGTTTCTGGGCTTGGGTTTTTTTGTTTGTTTGTTTATTTTTTTTGTGGTGGTACTGGGGTTTGAACTCAGGGCCTTGCCCTTGCACCCTACCATTTGAGCCATGCTTCCAGCCCTTGGGCTTCTGTGCATTTTGAGGCAGATGGATAAAGTTGGAGGGGTAGCTTGAGGACACTGATAAGGAAGCAGGCAGGCAGGGTCATATTCAGTGCCCAAGGCCACTGGGTCCTAAGATCCTTCTCCACTTGCCCCTCCACAGGTTCAGGGCCTGGGCCCCACGTTTAAACTCACACTTCACCTGCAGAACACCTCAACAGCCCGCCCCATGCTGGGGCTGCTGGTCTGCTTCTTATACAACGAGGCACTCTATGCCCTGCCCCGGGCCTTCTTCAAGGTACAGAAGCCCCTCACTTAGACATGGAGTGTAGCAGGTTAGGGAGGGGGCCTACTTAGATGCCCACAAGCCCCTGCCAGGTTGAAAGGTAAGAGTGGGTGATGGTTAGTAGGTGGCCAATAAACTGACTTTCCAACCAGAAACCAGCCTTCTCCGAGCCTGAGAGGCCATACAGAAGGTGCTAGAAAATAGCACAGCCTGAGTCCTAACCCCATCTCTCCAATGCCGTTCAGGCCTGAGGTGCCCCCAAGAACCCAGCCTGCTTCCCAGCTATTCCTGGTACATAAGTGGGCCTCTCTCTGTCCCCAAAGAGATATGCCACAGAGCAAAGGGCCTGGTTTTCCGCTGGGGTCCAGGCTTGACCCCACGTTGGGAAAGGCAGAAGCTAAGACTTTGGACTGGAAGCTCTGGCCTTGGTAGCCATCAAGAAGTCCTGGGACATTCACTTCCTCACACACATTGTGTCCCCCTGGATCCAGTGATCATCCCTGTCCACCCAGAGAGGTCCTGAGATGCAGCTTAGGCGGCCAGAAGCGCAGACTTTGCAATCTGCCAAACACAAACTGGGATTAAGGGCTAGTTTTCCTAACTCTTTGTCCCCAAACCTAGGTCCCGTTGCTGGTGCCAGGGCTTAGCTACCCTCTGGAGACCTTTGTGGAGAGTCTCAGTAGCAAGGGCATCTCAGACATGATCAAGGTAGGTCGCCCGTGGATACTTCTCAGAAGGCAAGTGGGACTCTGGGGAGGTCAGTAAGAGTGATCTTGGACGAGGCCTTGGAGGATGCAGGATAGGGGGCAGGATAGGGGGATGCAGGATAAGGAGGCATAGTTGAGGCCTCCTAGCCACTGTATCCCTGTCATTAGAGTTCCCTTGGCAGGGAGTAGAGAGGAGTAAAGGTTTGTGCCCCTACCACGGCACCTCCTCCCTAGGTGCTGGTGCTACGAGAAGGGCACAGCGCACCCCTGCTGAGCGTCCACATCAGCATGCCTGTGAGCGAGGGGCTGGTGGCTGCCTGAGCCCTGGGCCAGTCTTCAAGCCCCTGAAGAATGGAGCCAGCCAGATCCAGCCACTTCCACTGTGCTGGGAAGGTCTTGTTGCACCAGGCCACTCCCTACACAGTGTGCTGGGGCTCCAGCTTCCTGCTCCTCTTCAAAACCAACCCTTGCTGGCCACTAGGCCTGAGCACCATCTCAAGTGAGTGCCCAGGCTCAGCCCTTCCTTCCTCAGGACCACCTAGGCACTGTCCCACAGCTCCTGCTGCCCACCACCCTCCCCAATTCCTTCTAGAAGCCTCACCAGCTCTGGAATGGTCAAGGTGAGATGAAGAGAGGCCTAGCTTCTCTGCTTCCCTAAGGTATGCCACTTATCTGCTACAGGTCAAAGCCAGGTTTATGCCAGCGCCTGGCTGGGAAATCAAGGCCCTGTCATCCCCTGGGGTTCCAGAGGCAGGGCTGCTGCCAGCTCAAGTTGCAGGTAAAGCACTGAGCCAATTTCCCCTCCTCAGTTGAGCCAGAGGCTCTGCTTTGCCACCCCGCAGCCCAGGAAAGAGATGCCTCCCTCAGGACATTTTTCCAAGTCTTAGACTCACCACCACCTCAGGCCTCTGAAGCCCATAAAGGTTGCCAAGAGAGGAAGTGTGGTGCAAGAGGGCAGAGAGGGGGTCCATGCAGAAGACCACATAGCACATAGCAGCAGCCACTCCACACCTGGATGCCTATTCCCAGAGAGAGTATCCCTGGAGAAGAAAGCCAGGCTAGATAGTAGAAGGGAGCCAGTAGCACCTGAACAGGCATTTCTGGGGCCTGAAGAGGTGACCAGGAGGCAGACTCCCGGAAGTGCCCATCAGGGTGCCCTTCTGCACCTGGGAGCTAAGTCCTGTAGGTGGAAGTTCTCTGGTCAGTGGCCCGAGTATGACAGAATTCACTAGAAAGGCACTGACAAGAGGCATGGAGCGGAGCTGAAGACTGAGTGAAGACATGGGTTTAGACTCCAAGGTCTCTAGACCTCGGACTTCTTCACAGCCACCCTGAACCGCTTGGGAATCTGGATCTTTGTTCCTTGAGGACCTACATCTTCCCCTGCCTGACCAGGTCTGGCACACAGCTTGGGCTTGCAGGAGGTAACCAGATCCCCTGGACTTCAGCCTCCCCCCGCGTAGAATAGGTATTTGGCTAGATTGCTTCTAAGCACTTTGAGCTCTAACACCCACTGAGCTTGGCAGCCCTTTGGGAGGACATGAGGAGTTGGCCCAGAAATGTGATGCTTGTCAGCAGTACCTGCCCAAGCTTTTGCCCTCAAGACAAGGGCCCCAAGTTGGTCACCTCTGCCCAGGAACAGCCTCGGTGCCCAAGTCACAGGGACAAGGGGACACACCCTACTCTGACCCTCCCAAAATGTCCAGGGCCAGATTAAGATGCAAGGAATCTGGACCAAAGAGAGCCCATCCCCCTTCCCACAAGCCAAGTCATTCACAGATCTGGACCACCTGGGCCAGGATGGCAAAGGGTTTCTTTATCAAGCCAGATGAGGCTCCGCTGGAACAAGCAGGAAGTACAACCACGACATGGAAGATCATGGGGTGGAGGGAATGTCGCTCAGAGACAGCAGCAACCTGCAGAACTTACTGGAGATGGAAGGGCCGGCAGAGAAGGTGATGAGCCCTCTGTCACTATAGTTGTACGGGTGGGGACCAGGCTGTAACAGGGCAGGATTGCGCAGTGGGCCAGATGACCTTCTTATCCCTTTCACCCCAGTGAAACTGTAATGCACTGTAAACTGTGCGAACTCAGAACAAAAACACCAATGTGCACTCTCTTCATAGCTATTGACGATGAAAGAGGAGATTGATACCAGCCCCTCCCATGAGTTTATATAAAGTGACTGCATTGTCATTACTAAGAAATGCATGAAAGGCCCCTGATGGACAAGAGAACATAAAGGAATACAAAGCAGAAAACAGTGCAGGGCACCCAGTGCATGCAGTAGCGGGAGCTCCAGGAAATTGGGTACAGTAGGATGAGGAGAGCTAGGCACTGGTGGAAGGCTGAGATTGGGAGGATCATGACTTAAGGCCAGCCCAGGCAAATAGTGCATATAACCCCCATCTCCAAAATAACCAGAACAAAATGAACTGGAGGTGTGGCTCAAGTGGTAGAATACCTGCTTTTCGAGTGCAAAGCCCTGAGCTCAAACCCCATTCCCATTAAAAAAAAAAAAAAAGAAGATGAAGAGTTGGTTTCTACTTTCTTACTATTTGAAACACACATGTACTGAATAATATGGAATTAGTTTATAATGGCCTCTCATTCCCCAGGACTGCTCCCCTGCAACAGTCCCTTCCCGTCCTTGAGCTATTTTAAAAACATGTATGCATCACTCTTGCTTGATTGATCAGTCCTGGACATTCATAGGTGACTCCCTATTGTACTAGATGCGGCCTTAGCTTTAACTCTCTTGAAACAGCACCTGTCTCTCCCCATTCCCAGTGTTTAAGTAAATCAATATTCGCTGTTTAGATTAATATTTATATTGCTATGTGAAAGTTATTCACAGTAAAGCCAAAAGTTAGCCTATAAATAAATTACTATTTTTGAACATTTTTAATTTTTTATGGAGTTAGGAATTGCCTTGTTCTTTCATTTGCTTTAGTTGTCTAATATACCACTTACTAATTCTTCCCCCACCCAGTCTGACAGTTTTTCCTTTTTCTGGACACTTCCTCATCCCCTACTTCCAGGAGAATTTGCTCTGCAGGTGCAGTTCACCCTTTAAAAAAAAAAGTCATTAAACTTTTAGGGCACTGCTTGTCTGAACATTGCTTTTTTTCAGTTCACGCGTGATAGTTAGGATGGGTCATACATTTCAAAGATGGAAATCATTTTTCTGCAGACAATGCTCCTGTGTCTTCTCTGTGCCATTTCTACTCCTGATCATTTTCTCAGAGGTGCCGAATGTCATTATTTATTATCTGTAGTACTGTGGAATGGACCTGAAATGGGATCACTGCTGTTTCCTGGCTGATTTCTCCCCGAGACTTTCTCTGTTCTCTCTGGAACTCCAGTTACCCAGTCTCTGATAGATGGGGCACTCCTGAAAGATGAGGTTGATGCTGATCTTTGCTCTCCTATCGTCTTTTTGTCCTGTTTTCTGAGAGTTTTGCCAGCTTTCCTGTAGGTTTAAATTTTTTCTATGATTTTAATTCTCAGCTCTTTGTTCTCTAGTCCTTAACTATGGTATCTTTTCAAAGATGCCTTTTTCCTATCTTTCTGAGATAAAAAGTATAAAAGATGAGGCTGGAGGTGTGGCTCAAGTGGTACAGTACCTGCCTAGCAAATGCAAGGCCCTGAATTTAAACCCCAGTACCACAAAAAATTACATGTATTATGCCAGATGCCAGTGACTCACGCCTGTAATCCTAGCTACTCAGGAGGATCACTGTCCAAAGCCAGCCTGGGCAAATAAGTCATAAGACCCTATCTCGAAAAAAACATCACAAAAAAGGGCTGGTGGAGTGGCTCAGGTGTAGGCCCTAAGTTCAAACTCCAGTACTGCCAAAAAGAAGAAAAAACATCCCCACCCCCACCCCCCCGCCACCTCACCAGAATCAGTGAGGGAAATTGCCTGTTTCCAAGCTTCATGGAAAGGAGCAGGAAATGTCGTAAGAGTTTGGTGCTGAGGATGGAACCCAGAGGTTCGTGCATGCTAGGCAAGCACTCTACCATTAGGCTACATCCCCAGCCTACTTCTGAGAAGTTTTAATCATAAGCCAGCCCCTGAATAATAGTTTGCAGCCTTTATCAACATCATCAACACCTGAATTGTCCTAAAACCCCTAACTGAACATCTAAAGAACCCTAAAAATAGGATTCATAGGATTGGTAATTAAGCAACTAACATATTCCTCTCTAGAGGAATTTACATTTAATCCAGCCTTTAAAAAAAAAAACTCCAAAAATCCCATTGATAAAATTCCAAGGAATAAGAATTCAGTAAAAACAAATTTTAATAACATAAGCCTGGTCCAATGGCACATGCCTGTAATCCTTGCTACTTAGGAGGTGAAGATAGGAAGAGTGAGTCCAGTCTGGGCAAAAAAATAATAGCTGAGACCCTATCTCAAAAACAAGCTGGGTGTGGTGGTACAGCTACTCAGGAGGTGATGGTAGGAAGATCACAGCCCCAGGCAGAAGCACAAGCCCCTATCCAGAAAACAAAGCAAACGCACTGGCACATGGTTCATGTAGTAGAGCATGTGGCTAGCAAGCATGAGGCCCTAAGTTCATAGTGCAGTCCAAAGAAGAAAAGAACATAAGACATCATAAGCTACCACCAGCAGAAACAAGATCCAGTAAACCAGACCCTCAAAGACTTAAGATACTAGAATTACCAAACAGTATAAAATCTTTTCAATATTTAGTTTTCTTTTAAACTTTTTGTCTTTTTTTATTTTCACTATATTTAAGGAAAAAGAAGAAATTAAAATCTGAGCAGAAAGCAAGCTAATATATAAAATAATCAAGCTGATTTGAAAAAGAGCCAAAAAGAATTTCTAAAAATGAAAAAAACATTCCACATGTAAAATTCAATAGATGGGTTGGTACAACCCCTTTTAAAAATGTTTTGAGGGGCCTACTGGCACATGTCTATAATCCAGCACTCAGGAAGCTAAGGCAGGCAAGATCATGTTTCAGGTCAGCAAGGGTACATAGTGAGACCCAGTCTCAAAAATGAAGCGAAACAAAAAGTTGGTGCTTACAGCCCCTACTTTGACACTACGAACATTTAATTGTAAAACATTAAACTTACTCCCTGTAAAGTAAGAAACAAGGTATCCCCTATCTACTCCACATCGTACAGTGGTCTCACCTGTATAGAGGAGCAAGTAGAGGTATAAAAATTAGAAAGGAGGCCAGGTACCAGTGGTCCATCCTAGCTACTTGGGAAGCTGAGATCCAGATGACTGAGGTTTCAGGCCGACCCAGGCATGTAATTCGTGAGAACCTATCTCCAAAATAACCACAGAAAAACGGGCTGGAGGTGTGGCTTAACCAGTAGAGTGCCTGCTTTGCTAGTGTGAAGCCCTGAGTTCAAACCCCAGTCCTACCTAAAAAAAAAAATCAAAGGTAATATATAGAAAACTCAATCAACAAATAAACAGATAATGGGGTTTAGGTGTGCTGTACACAAATCTATTTTCAAAAATCACGTGTAATATATTAAAATATCAAATAAGTCTAATCAAAAGACATGACTTTATAAGAAAAAGTATAGCTTTATTGGGAACATTCAATGAAGAGATACACCATGTTCATGAACTGGAAAATTCGATTTCATTTAGCTGCTGATTGTCCCCCAAACTCAACTATGGAGTCACTTGAGGGTTTTTTATTGGTTGTGGATAAAATGATCAGTGGAACAAACTAGAAAAACTAATTGTGGTATATTCAGTAGATACCATGCAGCAGGGAAGAGGAATGCCCCACTGCTACATGCAATAATTTGGAGACACCTCAAAAACATAACATTGAGTGAAAAGGCAAGTCACAGAATACTCAGTATGATTCCATTTATATAAAATGCAATCACACTGCAAACACGGAACAAAGCTATAAAGCAAAGCAAGGAAGTAAGACAGGACACAATGTGTCCTTCAACAGGGAGGACACAAGTGACTTCACGGAAATGGTAATTTTCTCAAAACAGGTGTGCGGGGCGGGGGGCGGTAGTTTATAAATATTCTTACATCTTACTATCAAGTAAGAAAACATGGAAATAAGATATTCTGGAGAGTGAGGAGGGGTGCAGAAGAGGAAAATAGGAAGCCAGTGCTTACAGCACAACAGCACACAGTGCTGGATATATAAGGTCCCTAATGTCTTTTTAAAATATAGCAATACAGCATGCTGACTGGAAAAGTTAAAATGACACCTGGGGGCATGGGCAGAGTCTGCCGAAAAGTGGGCTCCTGTGGGGTTTGTGAGGCACGAGCCTATCATGTCACAGGACGACAACCAGCATTATCTGTAGACTGGTACTTAACTCCATTTTTGGTCCAGCCCCTCACCCCCACCCTACCCAGTGCCCATTACACCCCCCCCCATTTCATCCCAGAGGGGCAGCTGCTTGGTTGTAAGGTATGGGTGGGCCCTGTGGGAGGGGTGTGCCCGGAATGTCTTTACAGCCTTTTCCTCCTCGCAGGGTTGACCTGAAGCCTCGCCTGACCTTCCACGGTACTGGTGGAATTCATTAGCCTCTCCAGGGTTCTGGGGGGCAATTCGACCTTCTCCTTTGAGAAATCATTTTGATTTCTAATTCTCTGCTAAGAGAGTGAGCAAGCTCCAACCATTTTTCATCGTTCAGAATTTGAGGATCTTTGGTCTACTGCTGTCTCCCATCTTCCTTCCCCTTGCAAATTTCTTTTTACTTCTTTAGTATCATCTTAGCAGAGTCAGAGCAAACAGAAACTCCTGTGCTGAAGCCTGCCATATTTAGCTGTTTACTGAATTTACATAAAAGATTGAACACACAACTCTGGAAGAGCCAGAGGTGCAGGCCTAATGGCTCAGCATAACCTCTGCAGGTGCCTGAACACCCCCAGCTTATTGCCTTGATTTATCTGCTGCTTGCTTCCTGCAGCTGTGCAAGGGTGAAGACAAAAGCACAAGGACCTGAATTCAAATCCTACCTTCTCCAGTGTTGTCACATTGGCTGGCAGAGCTTTTATGTTTTCCACCCGAACCAAACTGCTGTCCATGTCCCTGGTCAGCTAAGAGAGACCCCTGCTGCAGAGATGTTTCTATCAAGTGCTGACTGGGTAAAGCATATTTAGATTACCTTTGCCTGGATCCTGCCCTGCCCTGCCAGGGCCAGAGGACGCAGAGCTCTGGCTCTCCAGACCCTGAGCATCCTGTCATTCCAGGCCTGACAATCACGGGAACTAAAAACAGCAGCCAAGACAACAAAGTGAGGGACCAGAAACCCAGCAAAGATGGAGGGAGGCCAAGAACCGATTGGGCACTTTATCAGCCCAGCAGAGGGGCAGCCAGGCAGGCTGAGCAGCCCCTTGGCAGATCCTCCTCTGCCAAGAGCCCTGGACATGGAGGAGTCTAAGCTGGGTAGGGCCAAGGCCAAGGACTAGAGCTGCCCACTGCAGGCTAACATTAAGGGCCCACCTGGCCTCCCTTCTGCAGTTGGCACAGGGCTAGAAATGAGTTACCAGCCCCCTTTTCAGCTCCCCTCTGCCCTGTTCAGTTTTGGCTCCTCCTGGAGTCAGGAAGCATACCAGCTTTGGTCTGGAAGGTGATCCCATCCCCAGGCAATGGGGAAGCCAGGAAAGGCCAGAGCCAGACAAGGACCCAGCGGGGCCCTAGGGCTGCCTGCAGGTTGTGGCAGAGGCCCAGGTCATAAGAGTGCTGGCCCCGAGCCCACTCCCATGTGGTCTGGCCCCGTAGCAGCAGCATCCCGTGGAAGAGCAGCCCAGCCCCGCACAGCAACGCGCCTGCCACACATGTGTCCATCACGAAGGCCAGGGCAAACTGAGCCAGAGACACTCTGCCTGCAGGGAGAAACAGAGTCAGGACAGCAGCTGGGTCCTGTGCTCCCAAAGCCCAGCTCCTGCCCCGCCTCGGCCCCCACTCATTCCTCCATTCTGTAACCACTGAGTCTCTACTTGCTGGGACCCATGTTGGATGATTAGAACACATTGGTGAACCAGACAGGTGGCCCCCGCCCCTGCCTGTGATACCACTTTCATCCATGTATCACAAACTTGGTGAGTGCCTAACACCTGACAATGTCAACACGGGGATAAGACAGCGTCTCTGCCCTTGGGGAGCTCTCAGACCATTTCTCAGCTGTGATCCCCATGGAAAAATACAGTATCTTGAACCATCTTGGCCATAACAGGCAACAAGTACTTGTTGAATAACCAACTATAAGATGCCAGGAAACCTGGGGATGTGGCTCAAGTGGTAGAGTACCTGCCTAGCAAGTGAGAGGCCCTGAGTTCAAGTGCTAGTACAGCCCCTACCCCCCCCAAAAAAAAAGCCTTGAAACATTGTGCTAAGTGAGAGAAGCCAGGCACAAAAGGTCACGTGCTGTGTGATGCTCTATGACATGTCCTGAATAAGCAAATGCATAGATAAAAAGCAGATTAGTGGCTGCCAGAGCTGGGAAGATTAGGAAGGAATGGGGAGGGGCTATTTACTGGGTACAGGGTTTCTCTTTGAGGTTGAAATTAGTGATAATGGTTGCACTATGTTTTGAATATATTAAACACCACTGAATTGTACACTTCAAAATGGCCAGGTGCTGGTGGCTCACGCCTATAATCCTAGCTATTCAGGAGGCAGAAATCAGGAGGAACATGGTTCGAAGCCAGCCCAGGCAGATAGTTCCTGAGACCCTATCCTGAAAACATCCATCACAAAAAGGGCTGATGGAGTGGCTCAAGGTGTAGGCTCTGAGTTCAAATTCCGGTACTACCCAAAAACAAAACAAAAGGCTAAAATGGTGACTTTGTCTATTTTGGCAAAGTAGAGAGAGAACATCTGGTTTCCAAGACAGAAAGGCACCTGTGAGCAGGAATATGAGGTCTGGAAGCTCATAAAGAAGCTCAGACTGCAGAAACACACTTGAGAGTAGTGAGGACCCAGAGGACGGAAGCCTGAGGTCCTGGGAACAGCTGGACCTGCCAGAGTGTATGGGACATGAGAAGTGATCTCCTAGACCTCAGCATGGGAAAGCAGGTCCATGGGGACCAGATGAAAGGGAAACCAGAAAGGAGGGTGGAGACACCAAAGTCCACGCTGTCCTGTCAGTGAGGTCAATGGCAGAACACATCAAGGACCCAGCACTGGCAGATTGAGTCTGAAAAGTGTCCTAAGGCAAGAAGAGAGCTGGGAGGAGCTGGGGGCATGGCTCAAGTGGTAGAGTGCTTGCCTAGCCAGGCAAAGGCCCCAAGTTCAAGCCCAGTACTGCCAAAAAAGAGAGAACTGGAGAGGTCCAGTGGAGTTTATGAAGACAAAGCCTGTGGCACTCTCAGAGGCAGGTGGAAGAATGAGCAGGAATCCAGGGAAAGCACCTGTAAGCCAGTGCAAGTCCTTCAAAGGAAGACAGAGGAGGATGGAGAAACCCCAAGGAAGCCAGTGGAGGGAGAGGGGCGGCGGAGGAGGGCAGCAGGCGCTAGGGACTGTCAGCCAGGCTTGGAGAGTTGTGCACAGGATGATTTTGGATGTACCACCTAATGTTCTATTCTCTCAGTGACAGACCCTGGGGCATGGGAGAGTGGGAAAGGTTTGAGCTGAGGTCACTGGGCAAGCAAGCTCATAAGAAGACAAGATGGCTAGGTATTGTTGTGGGTCTATTGAGGCCAGTGGCCATGAACATAGCCCTGTATGCCTCTAGCAGCTCTCAGTAGCCAGGGCAGAGCTGGCTGTCCCTAGACTGCAGGGTAGGTGTCCTCAGGGCTAAGCTGGGCTTGATAGGACGAGGAGGCATGGCGACTTCTCAGAGTGGTTGGTTAAGTTGCTAACTGCTGTATAAGGTTAAAAGGGACTGTGAAAAGGTCAGAAGAGAAAGCTGAAAGCATTCCAGTAGGAAAAGACAGAGTAAAAAAATCTGTGGGGCTTTTATCTTGGATGGTGTCAGAGGAAGGAGGAATATGCATGTCATCCAGACCACATCATCTTAGTCAGCCTCCTGTTCTAAGCCTCCTCCCAACTCCCAGTGACTGGGCCGTCCTCTGCCTGGAACTTTCACTGGCTCCCTACTGCCCCATAAAATCAAAATCATCTCACACCAGCATTTACAGCCCTCTACCATCCAGCCCTAACATCATCCTAGCCTTAAGTTTTATTTTTCCCTCCAAATTGCCTCTGCTCCTCCTGGGGTCTATGTTCATGCAACTACCCAGTTTGAACGCCTACCTTCCCTGAAGTGCTCTCCCAGCACCCCACCACCCTCATGGGCTCCCACTGGCCTTTCCTGCTCTGTAGTAAGTCCAGAATCCACTCTGGATTCTTGCAGCCAGAACTCTGTCCTCATCCTGGAGCGGTGTCAAATATGGTACTGCACACCCAGCGGAGTACCCGGATACCCTCTCCCCATAAATGACACTGGGACTGGGTCCCCAGGAGGGTCAACAGGAAATCCCATGTCCCACCAGAAAGGACCTTACTCCCCAGCCCAGTGCAGCGGCCTGAGAGGCCTCGAGGACTCACACCTGTGAGCAGCATGAGCCAGGGCAGCAGCAGGAGGGCCGCGGTATGCAGGGCTGAGTGAGCCCGCAGCAGGGCTGCCAGGGCTGGGCCCAGCAGCACCGACACGTGGAACAGGACACCAGAGGTATGGAGCAGCAGGCACAGGAAAGGCCGGTAGTTGTGGAAGCCCACGCAGCGACCCAGCAGGCGGCAGTGGTGGTCCCGGCGCAGGATACAGACCCGGCAGGCAGAACAATGGCCACTGCGAGGTGGCACCTGGCTCTGGCACTGGTAGCAGTAGCTGCAGAGAAGGAAAACAAGTCAGTGACCCAGATCATGCCTAGGGTCAATCTAGGAGCCCCTCCTGAGTAGGCAGGAGCCTGCCCCCACCAAGCATCAGATTCTCAGGTCCCTCCAATGCTAGCACTGTAGGTCTGGGGCGCTTCTAGCTCTACATCCCCAGTCTCAAGGCCTTTCTCTGACATCTGACACCCAGTAGCAAACTGCTCACTTCCTCCACCTTGATCCAAACCACCACGAACTGTCCTTGGCATTACTACAGTGGCTTCTTGACCGGTCTGCCAATTCCACCTCTGGTCCCCAGCTAGGAGTCTCACCCCATCAGCCAGACTGATCCTTCTGAAGCCCCAGCCATGTGCCTCCATGATTAAAATCCTCCAATGGTTCTTCAGCTCGAGTAAAAAGCAAAGCCTCCAGGGTCCCACAAGTCCTTCCATCACTGCAATCTCCCCGCCCCTAACACACACACACTCCATTCCAGCCACTCTGGCCTTCTTGCTGTTGGGGGAACATGCTGGGTACACAGCTGCCTCAGAGCCTCTACATGCTCCATTTCCTCTGCCTGGACCACTCTGTCCTCAGCTTCCCCCATGGGTGACTCCCCCCACTCTTTCAAGTCTACTCAATGCCTCAGTGAGGTCCACCTTGATTACCTATTTTTATATTTAAAATTTTTTATTTAATTGTAAATAAATTATAGTTGTATACATTTGCAGGTTACAAAGTGAATGCTATGACTTCTGGATACAACACTGGAATAATTAAATCAAGCTAATTAACAAATCCATCACTTCAAATACTAATTTCTTGTGACAACTGACCACCTATTTAAAACTGAAACTTGCACCTCCTTTACCCTACTTTAATTTTTGTTTCCACATCACCATCAAGGGCTGGTAGAATGGCTCAAGTGGTAAGAGCGCCTGCTTAGCAAGCGCGAGGCCTGAAGTTCAAACCCCAGTACCACCATAAGTAACTAAATCTCAAAAGCCCACACTACCATCACATAATTTGCTTATCATCTGCCCCCACCCCCACTGAAATCAACTCCAGGAGGCTGGGACTCTATTTTATCGTACCTCACCCCTCAGTCCCTGGAACACTGCGTGCTCAGTAAGTATTTGAGTGAATACTACCACTCATTCGGCTCTTCCATGCCAGGTTCTAAAGGAGTTTTCTGGCTCCAACAGCCCGATGTTAACATAATCTAGTTCTAACATCTCAGGTCCTGGGGCCCCTCCCCAATCCAAGGCTCCCGCTTTTGCCCGCTTTTGCCCGCTTTTGCCCGCCGCGTCCCACTCACGCCCAGCCCTGGCCCAGTCCGCGGCCGGCCAGCATCACGCCCCGGATGCTGGGATCCGAGCGCAGGAAGAGCCCCACGTTGCCCAGCAGGTTAAGCAGCTGAAAGGCGGCCAGCGCGAGCTGCAAGGCCCGGGCCAGGGGTCCCAGCGGAGGCGGCCCGGGACCCAGCACGAGCACGTAGGCCAGCTCCAAGCCCACGGCGGAGGCCCACAGTGCCGTGAGCACGAGCGGCAGTCGTGCGGCAGCACCCTCGCCACTCCCTGCCGCCCAGCGCTGCCCCATGGTCCGGACCCATCCGCGGTCAGATCGCGAGGACCTCACCGCTTCCGTATTGGGGCGGGGATAACGGCAGACGGACGTGTGTCAGGACCAGTGGGAGCTCGGAAGGGGAAAGATGAGCGGCAGACTCAAAGGGAGCGGCCACAGATGCGGAGAGGTGATTGGTCAGCCGAGCGAGCCAGTAGCTGCTCGGAATCCGGTTGGTGCTGGAGTCCAGGTGACACGTGAGTCATCGCCCTCGCCCCCGGGGAGGCCCCGCCCCGCAGGAAGCCCCGCCCGCTGGTGCCGCTGGCTGCGGCGCAGTGAAGATTGAGTTGCAACCTCGGTGGCGTCGGGGTTTCCCGGCTCAGCACATTCTACCCCCCCAACACACACAGCCTCCCCGGTATTAATAGCACTGACTAGGCCTATCCAGCTGGCTCTGAGCCTCTCCCCATGCTCGAGTGTTTCCGTCACCCCAGAAAACTTTCAAAACAACTCGGAGCCTCCTTATTTCTGACTGTGAAATGGGAATAGGGCTCCGTTTCCCACCCGCGTAGCTCTGGAAGAGGATCAGGAGCAGGCCCAGTGGGCAGGCTTTAAGGCAATCTGTGGCCATTATTAGTGTCCTCATTTCCATCGTACAGATGAAGAAACAGAGAGGGCCTGCGTCTTTCCCAAAGTCACACAGCTCCCAAGCCACGGAGCTGGAAAGCAAACCATGGATCTCGGCCACTAAATCTATCCCAGCATTCCCCCCCCCACCCCCGGTTCCACAATCCTTGCCTCCAGGGCAACCTCTTGTCTGGTCCCGACACGAGCGCCTTCGCCCCTATGCGGCCCCACCCCTCCTCCCCCATATTTAGTGCGAATCCGATCCGGGGCTGGGCTGGGCCCTACTTAACCGGGCCTGGGTGTCCCAGATTGCGCTGAGCGGAGCGGAGCGGAGCGGAGCCAGGACCCCAAGCAAGATGATGATGGTTCTGCAGCCCGAGGGTCTGGGGGCCGGGGAGGGGCCCTTCGCGGGCGGCAGGGGCGGCGAGTACATGGAACAGGAGGAAGACTGGGACCGCGACCTGCTGCTGGACCCGGCCTGGGAGAAGCAGCAGAGGAAAGTGAGTGCTCGCCCATTTCCTAACTGTAAAACTGAGGTCTAAGAGGCCAGACGGTTTTCCCTGAGTACTTTAGCAGGTCAGCCTGACTTTGAACTGCCCACCCGCCCTCTGCCGTCCCCCAGAGCTGGAACGGAGGGCTCAGAGCCCTCATGAAGGGACTTAGGGTGTCCCCAATACCCCTCACTCCCTGGACTCACAGCCCCACTTCTGCTGGGGAGAGCAGGTTGGGCAAAGCCCTACCTGGGGGGGTTCAGGAAGAAGAATCTTTCTCCCCATGCCCACCTCGCTCTAGTTCCTTTCCTGGAAGGAACGCGCTAGTCACGCAACTAGTAGACTTGGACTTGGGAGGGAGCATCTGGAAGGGGGTCCACCTCAGACCCTACCCCAACAACATCTCTGTATTCTGTCCAGGGTGGAGTCTACAGTCCCTTTATCTCCTTTGACAATTGAGGAAACTGAGGCCTAGAATGGGGCAGAGATAGGTCCTAAATCATACGCTGAAAGAAAACAGGATCCCCCAGTCTAAAGGTCTTTGTCCTTTGCCCTACCCCACTTTTTCTCAAGATACCCCTCCCTTGAGTCTGCTGAAAAGGCCACAGGTCAGAGAGGAGGGGAGCTGGGGTCCCCTTACGCAGTAACCTGACTCTCTGACCAGATGGGCACTTTGTGCTGAGACAGCGCCTTGGGGAGCACAAAGGGGGGGGCACAGGGCAGCTGCTGCCCAGGCCCAGCCTTGTAGGGCACTTGGGCCCCTCCCTCCCTGAACTATTTTCACCCCTAGATTTTCCCTAGTGGTGGGGGCAGGACACCTGGGTCCGCTAAAGAGAAAATGATCCCAGCTGGAGCTAAAAATTTGGGGAGTGGCAAGCCGGGGGCAGGGAGGGCACCGTGAAGCCACTGAACCTGCTGAACGTTTGCCAATAGTGCTTGGCTCTAGGAAAGGGCAGGACACTGGTGCCCATGGAACTTGCGGATCTGAGAGTCCCAAAATTTAGAGCACTTCTACTGGGCTAGATGACAGGAGTCGACCCCAGGGATTGGTAGGCTGAGCTGACTCTGCTGGGGGGGGGGAGGGTCCTCTCCCTCCCCCCACTCCACTGCACCTGTCTCCAAGCATAGCTGTGGTCCCTGGATTCAGCAATCTCCTGGTGATGTCATCTCTGCCCCTGGCCCCAGCTGCCACTTACTCTGCAACAACTTCTGTCCCCACCCCTAGCCACCCGGCCCTCTCCCAAATCCAGGTCTACATGCCCTTCCTATGACACATACCAGTCTGTCTCTTGCCTTTGTCACTTAAAATATCAGGAGCATCCTCTTAACCCACTGCAGCCATTCATCCAACAGCTGCACAGGGTGGATGCTCTGAAAATCCACAGGCATCCTCTACAGTTAGACATCCAGGTCATTTCTTTCTCTCCAATGTTGTTTATTACAAGGTGTAATAAACAACCTGTGGTCAGTGTTAGCCGTGCTCCTGTCCCTGGTCCTTGGTGATCTCTTTACCACTACTAACTGACTCCTCCATCCAGGGCTCCTTGGAACACTCCCATTCTCTCCTACCTAATGCTGAGTCTTCTTCATTCAACTACACGCCCAAACACTTGTTCAATAAATATTTCTTAAGGATGTCTTACTGCTGTTTAAGGTGCCCAGACTCAGCCAGACACAAAATACAGCTTCTGCCTCTATCTTCCCCCTCTACCCTGCCTCTTTCCTCTCATTAACAGTCTTCCTCTCTCACCCTTGTCCTGTCACTGCCCCCACTCTCCCTTCTGCTCTTCCAAGCCATTGTCTCCTCTCTGCAGCTGAAATGAGCTCTCTACAGCACAGTCCTGCCCACTCTCTCTGCCTGAAGCTTTGCTGATTCCCTGTGGCTCTGAGGATCAAATATAAACTCCCCAGCTTAGCACCCAAGATCACGCGTGACCTGGCCCCTACCACCCCTCCGGCCTGCCTCTTACCACTGATACCCCAACACCCCCAGCTTCATTCCAGCAGTGCCCAGAGCATTGTGGTCCCACAAACAGAACAACTGCTTCTCACCGTTCATTTGCCCATGTTCAGAATGCCCGTGCCTGCCCTTCTCAGTTTGCATAGCTCTGGCTCTTCCATCACAGCTCTGATCAAATGTGAGACTTTCCCAAGAGGCCCCTCCTAATTCCTCCACATGTCTCTACCAGCACTTCTCAGATCACCATGACAGTCTTAGGGCAAGGACCACATCTCATTAAGAGTCCTGTTTATCAGGACATAGTGGTATACAACTATAATGCCAGCTACTTGAGAGGCAGAGATAGGGGGATTATGGTTCGAGGCCAGCCTCGGCAAAAAAAATTAGCCAGACTCTATCTCAAAAAACAAGCTAGGTGTGGTGGTACATTCTGTAATCCCAGGTACTTGGAGTTGGAAGTAGGAGAATCACAGTCCAAGTCCAGCCCCAGGCAAAAGTTGGAGACCCTGTCTGAAAAAATAAACTAAAACAAAAAGGAATGTGGATGTAATTCAAGTGGTAAAGCATTTGCCTAGCTTGAGGCCATGAGTTCAAACCCCAGTATAGGTTAAAAAAGAAAAAAAATCCTATTTGTTCCCACATAGCCTTGTCTGTCCCTTACCCTATCCAGACCTACAGCATCCAGACTTCTGGCCTAGAAGAAACTGCAGAGAATACAAATGTGCTCTGGTCCTTATCAAGTAATACTAAGTACCCACTTACGCACCTCCAGTGACAGGAAGCTCACCCCCTTCCCTTAGCAATGATAGCCTCTCCTGTATTTAAGGCATCATCTTCCATGCCCAGCATCCAAGGCATCTGGAAAGATGGCTGAGGAAAAGAATTCCAGGCTTCCAGTACCGCCTCCCAGGGGTGTCTGCTTTGTGGTGGGGAATACTCTGAGTTCCAGGATCCTGCCAGGTGGGAGGAAGAAAGACCTGAGATATAGAGTGTGACTCCTCAGTTATACAAAGGCAGAGACCAAACTCCAGAGAGAGCAAGAGCTAACCCCAGATCACGGACAGTTTGTAGCTCAGCTGGGGTTGGAATCCAACCATGAACCCTACCAAGGACTCCACAGCTAGTAGCACCATTTAGGGACTGGAGGCTTGATAGGTTGGCAAAAACCTGTCCACAGTCTCAGGTCACCCCCCCCCCCATCCCCAACAGACACAGCTGTATACCACTGCCTTGCATCTCAGATAGAGGCTGAGGCTGGCTGTGGGGGTTGGGCACCATCAGCTCTGGAAACGTGGTCAGGCTTGGCCTGAGTGCTCACTGATCCTGCACAGCCTGTGCAGTGCTTGCACACCCACGGTCTCTCTGGCAGAGGATCCCAACCCTCAAGCCAGATGTGTTTTCCTTACAGAATTTCTTAAGAGTTTAGGCAGGCCGTATCTCTGGGCTGGCCCAGGCACCTCAGGGGGCCCCATGCTTTGGAGTGTTAAGAGTTTTCTAATCATCCTGTAGTGCTTAAGACCAGACAAGGCTGGAGTATAATCTAGTGGAGTGCAAGTCCACACTGGGACCTGAATGGGTCCCACATCCCATTTCTCCTTTCGAGAAGCTCAGAGAGGGAGAGGGACTGACTAAGC